TATTAATAGTGCATTTAATATCAAAGTCCAATTAATTCAGGACTATGAAAAATTATTAATATTACTAACTTAACATATATACTATTATAACTAATATACATGCTAAAAGTATTTTATATATTTTGATAATTTATTAAATATTTTAAATTATTAAAAAAAATATATACATGAAATATTTTTATATTTTGAGATTGTAATTTTCCCCTTTGAAAAAACGTGCATTAATAATCGTTTGTAAAATGAGTTTACAGCTGTTTAGTTGAACAACCGATCAAATAGATTATAATCAGTTCAAGGGTAGAACTGTGATCTGATTTTATTAACAATAATGATTTTTAATTTAAATTAATACACTCTTACTATAATGTTTTGGTAGATGAAATTAGGGAACAAAATATGTAATATTATTTTCGTTAACTTTTAGTTTTATCTTTTGGCACCTTAAAAACCAACAAGGTTTTAAATTAATTCCAGTCAAACAATTTGTTTCCTATACCAAATAAATTCACCATAAATAATTATTTTATTACAACATAGCAGCTCCAAAAAAACGAAAATTACAAATTTCAATTTCACGTGTACTCCAAACTAAAGCACACGACGTGAATAATTAAAATAAAAATGTAAACTAGAGGTGATATTGGGTAAACAAAATTCTACAATATTTTTTGTGATTATAAAAAAGGAATATATATATATATATATATATATATATATATATATGATATAAAGATGAGATTGAAAGAAGAAATAGTACAGGGGTTTCAATTTCAAGTGAAAGTTTATTCTTTTACATATAATATGCAGATAATATTAGTTTTGACAATGACATTGACATTGGCACTGACGATCAGAATAATAATGATAATGATAATGATTATGATAATGCTTAGCGGGAGCATAATGATCAACAGTACTTCTGTCAGAATGATCAACAACACTTTTGTCAGAATGATCAACAATACTTTTGTCAGAAGCATCAAAGTTATCGTTGTTGCTGTTGATGTCTGAATTAGTGAAGTCTTGTTTACCATTTCCTTGGTTGTCAAATGTGTTGCGTGAACTGTGGTGTGAATCATCATCTGAATAACCATTCTCTTCATAATCTACCTCTCTTATTCTCAACCTGTCCTTCTTTTCTGATCTAAAATGTCCTCGTGACTCTCTTATTCTCAACCTCTCCCTCCTTCCTGATCTCTGTCTTCGTGACAACATTGTTGTGCTTTGATTTTAGCACTTGTGCCTGTTTGATGATTTTGTGTGTTGTTAGGGTACACTCTTATATAGACGCATCGATCATGCAATGTTTGCAACCAGGGAATCCCACTTCGTTGCTTCAAAACCAAGCTAACGATATTTCATGCCAATCAATGCTATTCTTCTAACAGCATAAATTCGTTCATGTGTTTCACTCCAGTTACTGTTGTTAGTGCCTCCTTGTGGATTTTGGCTGTTGTAGTTGCCTGAATATGCTACCCTTAATTTGAGTCATTTCGCCAGAGAAATTTTTGTTTAGGTAGAAACTGTTGATGGTTGCATTACTGAAGCTTTTAATAAGTGTCTAAAAATATAAAATTACAATGTTTAATATCCACTTGAAGGTGTGATTCGTTCAAAACATGTTTGATGATAAAAACTTTTGTTTGGGTTGCGTAAACGTTGTAACGTCATACCAATTACAAATGACGGCAACATAGCCTGAATAAATGGTTGGATTGCATCGAATATATGGTTAGGAACTATTTTATATACGTATACTTTTTGGCACGTGCCTTTATTCCATATTGTTGATATGCTCTAATTAAACAAATATTATCTCTAATATAATGGAATATCATATACATGTGTAGGAACCAAACCATAATTCATAGTCAATGAAACAAAGCATCCAGAAAGAAAGACATGATACACTTCTGGCTGGTATAAGCATTGAGAAGTTATTATATACATCAAATAAAGAATCAGATAATGGAAGATTGATTTGTATAGTTCTATATGCATCTAATAAATAGTTCTGTTAATGGGGAATTAAAGTGGGACAGTGAGCAAACATAGAAGGAATATATGGTCATTAGTAAATCCTATTTGTGTATAGTACGCAGAAAGAAGACAGTGTGATATAAAATGAAAGATAAAACGAAAGAAAGGAAAGAAAAATTTGTGATAAAATAGGATTTAATAAGAAGAAAAAAGTTAAAGTCAAAGAGGTGTGAGTCAAAGGGGTATGAATATATTACTGATTAAACTATAGAATGAATATTATTTCTTTGAATGTATGCCGTCATGAAAAAGATTGAAAAGGTAATAGATGTGATAAGTAATGTAATGAATATTATCTCTTCAACATTCTAATAATTTCCTATTATTCGTTCTATTTCAAAGTTATGTTTTTTTTAATCAATTTTTCTTTAAAAAATCTAACTATATCGTCACTTAATATTTATACGTGTTTTCTATCCTTTTGTTTGTTTGTATTTAATTTGATTCTTAAAAATTATTTTTCACCCTAATTTACCCTCGTTATCATGTTTATCATGGAATTTAATGGAGCAAACTCGAATAGTGTATTTATATGGAATCATTGAATACACCATAAAAAATGTCCAAATGTCTCTTTCTAAGTAAAAAAGATAAAATAGCATTTCCTAGCAAGCTTAAGCAATTCTCCACCATTGTTCATTTACAGCTTTATAGAGCATTTCTATCATTGTTTTGCAATTTCTAAAGATAAAAATACGAGTTTTTCTAAAAAAAGATTGTGAGTGAGAGTGGTAGATGAGAATTTTGAAAAAATGGATTCTAAAAAATGGATAAAGATTTTGAAAAATAGATCATTTGCAGGTGATGTGAGTCAGGTGAGAAGAATAAATTATAGAGGTGGGTGAAGAGGGTTTTTGGGATGGTTGATACCTAGAGGGTGAATTCTTTGATGGGTAGAGATGAGGGCAACCATTTAACTTAAATTAATGAGTTTTTATGTGGAAGGAAACAATGGTGGTGCTCTCATCTAGATGGTGAGTTTTCTAATGAGTACCTGGAGATCAAAGTGTTGAGAATGGTAAATTTTATTATGATTTTTTTTCTCTTTATCCCATTTTCTTAGCAATTTTGATATTGATATTGTTGTTGCATTTGAAATTTGCTAGCTAGGTTCAATTTTGGATTAACATTGGAATTCCCTTGTCTTTTGTGAATTGGAGGGTTGTTTTGCAGAGAAAGAAAGAAGGGTGAAAATCCAGTCTTAGGTGAATTACTTGATCTTCAGCAAGGTCTTAACGAATTAACGGTAAGATCTAATACTATGTATTTTAATAAAAAGGATGAACGTGGGGCAATCAAATAATTGGAATTTAATTATTGAAATATTCATTTTACTTAAATAATATATATTTAAAAAAAATAATCATAATACTACAAAATAAATTTTCCTAAAGTACTGTATACCACATTTGCTTAAGATAAATTTTAAAATTACCTTTATAATTTTTTTCAAAATGCATCTAAAAATTAATTTTTACACAATTTTTTTAATTTTCTTATTATGTACATACGAGTGCATAATTAAATAAAAGAGTTTTTTTTTTAAATAGATGTTACTTTAATTAATTCAATGTGTATAGATTTGGAATAAAAAAATTAAATTTTATGAGTTTTGGATAGAAGAAAATCAATGGAAAACTATAATTGTATAGTATTAACTAAAAATAAATTTAATTAGCTAAAAAATAGGATATCAAAATTAGCAATAATTTAAATTAGAGAAAAAAATACAATTATGCCTTATTATCAATTACTATATTATTAATACGTGCATTTTTTAGATTAAAATTAATTTAAAATTACACCCTCTTTTATTAAAATTGATTTAATTTTCATTTTTTAATTTTATTTTAAATTTAAAAATAATAATTTTTACTTAATTTTTTATTTAGATTTTTTTATAAATACTTGCGTTTATATTTATAATTTTTTATTATTTTATATTTCATAGTTATAGAGTTAAGTTAAAATGTTTTTTAAAATTAATTTTATTATATATTATTTTAAAAAATTATAAAAGTATATTCTTTAATTATTAAAATATATATTTTTTAAATAAAATGGTTGTGTATTACACATGCTACATACTAGTTATATATAAAATACAAACAAATGACTCTTATATTTGTCCTATTATTACATATTTTATTTTATCTTTTAATATATTTAAGGATATACAATAAATAATAATAAATAACTAAACTTTATTAAAACTTATAACTTTGTTATCAATACATCAAATTTTATAATATCTTATTATTTTAAATAAAAATTTATTATATATATTTATTATGTAATATTAAATATATATCAAAAAGTAATTTTTTAACATGTATATAAGTGCATATATGTTAAGAAAAAATATTTTTTTATAAAAAATAATATTTAATATTATTTATACATTGAATATTATGATACAAAAATTGTTATTGATTGTGATTGGATACTTGTTAGAAAAAGTTGTTAAACTTTTAAATATTTTATTAAATAAAATACAAAACTGTTAGACAACCAATAAATGATTAATTTTTTAATATATTTTTATTATTAAAATAAATTTTATACAAAATTTCCTGAATAGGAGACCCACGCTATTCTCAAGTTTTAAGTGATTTGACGCCTAAGAATGTTAGTTGACAGCCAAAGAAGATATTTTGTATTATTAAAATACAATTTATACAAAATTCTCTAAATAAAAAGGAAAACCACGTTATTTAATCACGAGTTTTAAGTGAATTAAATGTATGAATAGACTATCTGTTTTTATTAAAAAATTTATCATATATTTTTAGAAATATTAATTGCAAAAATTTGTTTTATAAATTTATGTTATCACAAAACATATACTAAAGAATTAATTTTCATTTTGATTTGCACCATTTAATACCTGAAAATATTATAAGATATAGTAAAATAATGTGAAGGGATAACGTGATCAATCACACATTTTGACCGAGTAGTGCGTGACTTTGATGTTGCGTTGAGATTGCCAAATACGCTCTGTTACACAATTCTCTCTCATATCACTCTGTCTAAAATTCCAAGCTTTAAATTGAATGGCTGTTACTGGGTTCCCCAATTTCTCTCTATTTCTTCCCCTCTTTTTTCCAAAATAAAAAACCTTCATTTTTCTTCTGCTTCTCAGTTGCAGCCCTTGTTTCTTTGTCTTTCCTCTTCACTTTTTCTTGGTATGTCACCTTTTTTTTTAATTATTATTATTATTATATGATGTAAGCAACTGAGTCTTGTCTTTGTCCTATTAGCTAATTTCTTTTGATGGGGTTCTGTTTGTTTTCCAAGAACATATGATTGGTCAGTTTTTGGTGAAAGTCATTGAAGTTGGCAAATCAAATAATGACTACTGGTCAAGACTTTTTTTATTTCATGCCTCCTGGATTTTATTATTATATTATTATCGATGTTCTTTGTTGAGTGGGGATTTTTCACTTTCCATTATTGTATGTATTTTATGCTTCAATAGAGTGCGTTTGAATGGACTGATGCACTGTGTGTTTTGATGCAGTTTGGTATTTTCAGCGGGTAGATTTAATGGGAATTGCTGTCTATTTTGCTTTCTTTGTTGGTTCGGTTTCCTCTTATGGGTATGCTATCCCAACCAAAGAGGTTCAATGGTTGGGGTCTGTCTTCGCTGGCATTATCTTCTGTGTTCTTGTAAGTAAAATGAGCTGTTCATCAAATTTTCTGTGTCTTTTATGTAGCAAATGCTTCTTATGACTTGGGAAACTAAGTCTCTGTGAACCTAATTAGGATTTTGAAGTCTTCTTGGAGGGGCAGAAATGTAGAATATCATTTTAATAACATCACAAGGAAAGAAAGAGAGGGGGGGGGGGGGGGCAGTTAGGGATGTGCCTTTTTTCTTAAATTTCACTAAGATGGGTGATAATTCAGTTGAAGGATTGAATATAATATTTGAGGGGATTAATATTTGTCAATAATCATACTGTAGGAATTGCAGTTAATCTTTTCATATTAATACTCTGTAGGGTTTAGGATGTAGTTTGTGAGTACATACTAGATATCTTTGTAATGATGTTATCTGTAGTATAATGACATTGTTTCTAATGGTTTATAAGCGAAGCAAAAAAGTATTTCAATTGTGTAGGAAGAGCTTGTATTCTTGTGCATTTTTATGGTGAAGTTATTGGTTAAGGCTTTGTAGATGCAGGGTCAAGTGAGTAATTTTGATACATCCTTGGACTGAAATTGCAATTTTGCTTACTCTGCTTTGGGAAGAAATATTTCTTTCTAAGTGATCTCTGGTAGCTTCTTCAGTTCAAAGGAATGTGCTTAAGTCTTATTGTTTACTAATAGTTTTATGGTGGGTGACACCATTTCTGTAACAACAATTCGAGAGAAAACTTGATTGCTTTACTTGTTGGCAACAGATTTTATGCAAATATAAATTGTCTTGTCAACATAAATTGGAGATGATATTTAGCACTAGTGTTTCATGCCTTTTACTATGTACAAATAAACTTGCTCTTACTTTATATTTTGAACTTCTAATGAGTAAGAGTATATTCCTTTGTGGCTCCCATATCTAATTGGATTTTGACTTATAACAGCCTGAAAATCTCCTTGAAAGTAATTTTTTATCGACTGTATCTTGGTCTAGGTAGAAAACTAGGAGGTAACCTTCACAATTTGTTGTTGTAGCTTCAGATCCTGAAGTCTTCAACTCTTTTGGTCACTTGTGAGTTGAGAGTGTAAATAAGAAAGGAGTTGAGCTCTTAGGCTTATATAGATACACATAGTGTTCTTTCGTTTCCTTTTCTCTTTGTTCTTTTTGTTAAATATATGTTTAGTTTTAGATGTATGGGGAGGGGAGATAATACTAAATTTTTTAGTCATATGATTATGGAGGTTATTTTTTTAACAATTAACAATTTTGAAACTTGATCCTTTTTTTATTCTCTTCTTGAAGGTTTATAGATTGACTGCTGTTTTGAGTTCTTTGTTGTTCCTGGGATATGGCAAATTGAGCAGTGCACAGAAAATTGAATGGAATAACCGGTAAAATGCCTTTATATAAATATTTCTTTGTTTATTTATTTTGTCCATAATTGAATTCTTATGTTAACTTTAAGATATTTTGCCAATGCAGGGGATTCTCAACATTTCATGCTCTGTTTGCATCATTTACGTCATTTTACCTGTTGATGATATCAGATATCTTCAATAAGGATTCACAAGAAGGGCTAGTTGTTAATAGATCATCTACTTTCTCTAATTCAGTATTGGGGGTATGTTAATGAATATATAAGGAAAATTTAACTTGCTTAATCTGATAAAAGTTTATTTTTAAATTCTTTTACATTCTAACTAGTTTAGCTAAATTGATGATGATGCTTGTGGGGGTATTGATAAAATATACAAACCTATGAAGTGAATGTAATTATTGTAGTATTTTCTGTTTATAATTTAATATGCATGTAGTTCCGTTGTTAATCTACTTCAAGTACTCAGGAAACTACTAAATCTAGCAGCAGTCTTCATTTGTCTAGGTTGTAGTGCTTTTAAGAATGAACCTGTCTCTTCTTTTGGAGCATTCATTTTAGATTGTGTAGCTTTTTTGATAAATGCAAGTGGCACCTTTATGGCCTGCCCTTTCAAAGAGGAAAGTTTCATATGTACGCATGGTGCACCATTCAGTTGTGCACTGTGAATGTTAGGAACTGAGTGTTAGTTTGACAAGTATTGCATGTTGGGACTGAAAATCAGAAATGTCATGCCAACTGCTAGTTCCCCATTGGTCTGATGCACATGCTGGTGGTGGTGCATTCTTAAGTCTTAATCTCCCATTTCACTTATACTTTAATCTTCCAGTTTCTTCTTTTTTGATATCTCTCATCTCATATTTGATTGTAACATTATTTTTCATCCTTATTAAAAAAGATGATTGTCCAGTTGGCTTATTTGTTGATTTGTTTTCTATATTTTCCCCTCATTTTACAGATTTCTATAGGTTATTTTCTAACAGATCTGGCAATGATTCTTTGGCATTTTCCAGCTTTGGGTGGTTTGGAATATGTAAGCCGAAAATATATTACATTTTCTTGCAATTTTTAATATATTATATAGTAACAAACATTATGGTTTTTATTTTTTATGTATATTGAACTCAGTTTCCAGGCTATTTGATTTGGAAGTTGTAAGCTAATATCATCTGTTTGTATTTAGGTTTTACACCATGGGCTGTCCATGTTTTCAATTATCCAAGCTTTGCTAAGTGGTCAAGGACAGATCTACATACTGATGGTTCTTTTCTCTGAGAGCACAACTCCTTTTGTAAATCTAAGATGGTATATCTGATGTTCAGACATTCATTTGATTTCATCATTTCATGAACTTAAGTTAACATTGACTTGTTACTTCAATTACATATACAGGCACTTGGACATTTCTGGTCATAAGAACTCCAAACTGTACATTTTGAATGGCATTGCATTGTTCTTCGGGTGGTTGGTACTGTCAAATATACTCTTAATCTCAATTCTAATTCATTTATAGTACCTGAAGGAATTGCTTATGGTCATGTATGGTTTTATTTTGGTTCTTTCTTCTATTATTGTGTTTTGAACAAGTAGCCATGGTAACAAAGATAACTGGAAGCTATAGTCAATAGGGTTGCGACAAAATGTGTGGTGCATATTGCATGCTTGAGTAGGAAACCTCGTGTAGATTCATTCTCTTGTTTAGTGTTTTTTTAGTACGTTCACAAATAATTTGGACGACTCGCTTAAGCCTTAGAAGGCTTGTAAAAGAATAGCATTAAATTAGGTAGGTTAACTAGGTGTCTAAATATGAATATGGTGCCTTTTCACTCAACTAAAAGCCTTTTCATTCAACTAAAAAACAGTGTTAATATAAAACCATTTAGGTGTCTTTAACAAACATCTTAGGCTTTTCGGGATAGTTGATTCTTAACATGATATCAAAACCTCTGTAACCAGTCTTTGATCATTGTCACTCTCATCCTTCAAACCAAAAGTTTCATTTCAGCACTAGGTAGGTAGTTGGCTTATAAATTATCCATGCTCGAAAACCAAAGGGCTATTTTACTTGAAGGGGACATGTTAGAGATAAAAAAAACTATTTATGCGCGCTCACCTAACAGCTCAACTTTTAAGATAATTTGTTCTTGACACGTAGCATGCTATAAATGCTGAAGTTGAGTGTTTTGATGTTAGCAATTATTCCAAACTTTGTCATGGCCTGTCTCTTAGTTCCTATGATTTTATGGAAAAATGGAAATAGTTTACTTGGCTCTTCTAGTACATATCTTTATATGCTTTAATTAATCCCTTTATACTTTCGGTGCTGCAGATAGCTAGGATTTTCTTATTCATATACTTTTTTATCCACATGTGGATCCATTTTGATGAGGCAAGCATTTTCTGTGATTACCCATTAGATTTTACTTCACAGATCCTCCTCTGATTGTTGTCTAGCAAATAATTTCAAACTTGTTTCTCCACTATTTCAGGTCAAAGAGATCTTCCCATTGGGTTTTTACAGCTTGCTTGCGGTGCCTCCTGTGTTGGCAATAATGAATTTGTTTTGGTTCTGGAAGATTGCCAAGGGTATGGTTAAAACCCTTTCAAAAGCAAAACATAACTAGTGAGCCTACTAAAAATGGCCACTGAACTAATTTGGTACAGTTAACATTTTTGCCCCATTTATCATACTTGTAAGATTCAGCGCAATGGTATGCTGTATATTTGTTTTTACGCAATTGAATATATTTTTCAGTGACTAAATGTATTATAATCAACACGAGCTAAAAGTATCCGAATTAGTACAAAAGGATCTGAGAAATCAAACTTGGTTTAACTCCAATTTTCTGCTCTCATTCTTGCTTAACTAGATGTGTAAGCTCCCAAATAGAATGAAAATCTTTGAAACAAAAAAGCCCACGGGAAGTGTACGTTTGGAACCACAAATTTTCAAATTTGAGTTTGTGTTTAGTTAAGCCTACACAGCAGCATGTGAATGACGGAACAGCTGATTTGTAAGCAAATATATCTCCTTTATTTTTGTCATGTTTTAGTTAAATTATATGAATTAACTTAAATATAAATAAATAATGAATTACTAATAAAAGAACTAAATAAAAATAAAAAATATAGATCAAATACAAAAATTATGTATTTTTAGATAATCAAAATTTTATTTTAAGACTAACAATTTTTAAAATTTTGTTTAAATGTTCTTTAAATATGTTTAAAGATACATAATAGAAAATAATTAAATAATTTTTATTAAACTTATAACATTTAATATTATAAATACATTGAATTTTATAATATTAAATGTTTTAACAAAAAAATTGTTATATTTTTAAGTTGGCACATGCATTAAAAAAAAAGTTGATTAAAGTATGACAATGTTTCGTTAAAATCTGACTTCTCAGTTTTAACGGGTGAGATCTTCTGCAGTTTTATAAAATTAAAAACTATTAATGACCCATTGTGACCTTAAAAAGCCACTCAATAAATGTCTATTTTGTTGCTTATAATGAATTTTAAAAATGGATGATCAATTAACCATGGAACCTGGAATCTAATCTACCCGTATATATTTTTTAATAAATAATAATATTTTAATAGTTATTTTAAATAAAAATATTTATAATAGTTATTCTCTTTTCGCTAAATTATACAGTTAAATAAATATTAAATTTCAAGATAACATATTTATAAATATTTAAATCGTATAAAATTTAATATATATAGTGATGAAAATAATATAAAATAATTAAACGGCTAAATTAATTTTATATTGAAAATTATTAAGAGCTTTAAGTGTTAAAATTTATAATATGATATTTATGGATTTTAACTCGTTTTGATTAATAATATTTTTTTAAAAAAAAGTGTAATATTATGCATGAGAAAAAAATAATAAACAAAAAATTTATATTAAAAACTGCAACATTTAATCAATTATTACATCAGATTGTATTAAATTTTATAATTTTTAATAAAATATTATTATATATAAATTCTTATTTTGTATAATAGTATACAAATTAAAAAATTAACAAAAAATTATTCTTTTTAATTTATAAGTAAATTTTTTATTTACAATACACAAAATTTACTGATGTAGGTCTCAACTCTCAACCATTTTCCTTAACTGATGCAATAAAAGATTCCAATATTGAATTATACCAAAATGTTAGCTTTCTGGCGTTGCCATCTTTGATTTTTGGATTCTGACCAAAACAAAACTCTTTTTATAGTACTTTTTTCTTTCACATGAACCTGACAACTGCTTCTGTTGTCCTCTGCCCAAAATATAAATTATTTTTAAAAACTGCATTTTATTGACATGGGACCTTATTCATTATTTATATTAAAGCTGTAATTATAATAAATATAATTTAAAATATTTGATCTTTTTTATTTTGCACATAATTTATTAATAATTTGTACCCTTACTTTTGTTTTTAAAATTATCTCTCCTGCATGAACAACAAGATGGACAAAATTTAACAATAAACTTTTAAATATATTTTTTATTATTAATTGAAATGTATTTAAATCATAAATATCATGTAAATCTTATTTTTAATTTAATCAAATTCACTAGTATTTTATAACTTTTAATAAATTTTAATCAATAATTAAATTTTTTTAAAAACATTAAAATAAAATATTTCTAAAACACCTGTTAACCTGTTTAGTTTAGTTGTTTTAGCTAAGTTAATCCGACAATGGACTTGTTCAAAACTGATCAGCTCAAGCCTTAAGTTTAAGTAAATAGATTAATGCTCCCTCTCATTTTAATAATTAATAAAAATATAACAAACTTTTAATATATTATTAATCTACAAAAGTTCACAACATAATATGTATAATAAATAAATAATAACTTTTATTATATTTTATATAATTTATTCAGTATTTTATTTACATATTTTAAACTATTTTCTTATTGATATGAGTTCATTTGTTGATATAATATTTTAAAAAATTTATTAAATTATTTTAATTAATAATATATCGTATATTTATTATATTTTTTAATTATTAGATAAAATTAAAAGATTAATTTAAACAATTAAAAATTATGAAAATTTAATATAATTAAAAATGAAAAAACTGAAATTACATATAGACTAAAATATAAAAATTAAAGTGTAAATAAGAAAAATAATTAGAGTGTTAAAAAAAAATCAATAAGAAATACTAGAAAAAATGTCATCTATATTTAAAAAGAAAAAATCGTGTATTTATTGTATGGTCGATTGGTCGTACATGAAAGAATTTCAATCCGAATTCCTGGGACCACTTACACGCTTGACCGTTAGAAGCCGTTACCTACCGTTATTGATGTATAGCAACATTTGCACGAAAAGTAACGGAGCGTCAACTCCGTCAACCTCCTCCTTCTCCTCTCACTGCTTCTTTCTTTCGTTCTCCGCCGAGTTTGCCTCTCTTTCCTCTTTTTCTCTCTCTTCAATTTTTTTTGGTTGGTAACATTATGCATTCAAAGATTCTCTTTTCTTTCTATTTTTTTTCTTACATTAAACTATTTCACGATTTTCTTCATTCCTTTTCTGGAAGTTGCTACCTTTGAGAACCAATTTCATTACCAATTTGGTTCTGAATGTTTCAGATGAGGAAGGAGAAGATGGGTTTTGGATATATAGGATTTTCATGGTGTTAACTTTACTGGGTAGTGTTGATTTTTGTTGATACTTAGATTTTTCACATAAAGTTCCAATTTTGTTTTTCTGGGTTTTGAAAAATGTGGGGTAGGTGGTGGTGTACTAGTAGTGGTTTTGGATTGTTGAGACAAAGGGTATCCTCAATTGTTAATGTTAAACATGGGTATAGGGAAAAGCTTAATCCTTTTGATCCTCCTTTGTTGGGTTTGAGGGGTGTTGTTGCAGTGATGTGTGGTGGAACTAAGTGTGGAGAAGGGACATCTTTATCTGTTGTGGTGAATCAGATTAGGAGGGGTATGTCAACTTCCACCGGGGATGGTATTGGTGGCCATAGCAATGGTAATAGAACAGAAGATTCCATATCATTCTCTGAAGCTAAGAAGCTTATGAGATTGGTGAATGTGGAATCTCTCAAGTTGAAGCTTGGTATGGAAGGGAAGGAAGTTATTCCCTACTCTGAGCTTCTTCAAGCGTGTGAGAGTACGGGTATTGCTAAGAATCATGAGGAGGCTGTAGCATTTGCCAGGGTTCTTGATGAGGCTGGGGTTATTCTACTTTTCAGGGACAAGGTGTATTTGCATCCTGATAAGGTGAGGTTTAACTGTTTTAATGGCCCTCTTTTTGCTTGTTACTTTTTTCTCCTGTTTGAATTGTTTGTGTGTATGTTTGGCATAAGAACATTATTTGTGCCTGTGGGGCTCACGAAAAGCATGACCGGGTCTGTAAGTCTATACTGAGAGGGTGTTTTTTGGGTCTTTTTGTTACATAATCTCTTTTCCAATTGAGGAATATTATATGATTGATTGAATCATATATGCATTTGTACAAAAAAGAGTTGGGATGTGACACAACGAAAATGGAAAGGGGCAGAAAGATAACTGTGTTTCTTTTATGTTGATTGTTGTTTGTATAGCATCACCTTTTCTGAATGATAGTCCAGTAGGACTCATTGATTGTGACTAGTGTAGAGTTTATCCTGCATATACACTTTAGCGCACTTTGTATTCGACCAGTGATACTCTTTGGCTTTATTCCATGGGAGATATACCGGTGTAATTCTATTCTCATTTTTTTATCCGTTGTTTAACGATTTGGATTCAAATTTTCTTATGAAAATTCAACTCCATTCATAGCCACAAAAGTTTTGTGCCATGTGCCCCTTGCTTGATTTCTTTACTTACTCAACGTTTAACCACATACATTACCATATTCTGGAATCTAGTTTTTGGTTGTGGAATTTTAACATTTCTAAATTTAGTTTTTCTTCTCTTCTGTTTCTTTGTTAGCTATTATATATTAGCACTTTGGTTCCTCTCATTTCAGAAGAATACTGATGGGAAAGGATTTCTTTCTGTATATACAAGCACATGCTTTGCTTGCTATCTTTTAGTGTATCTTGTGTGTGTTTGCCATGCCAAAGGTTCCAAGACACCTTTATATTGTAGTCTGTGCTTCTCTTGCCCTCGGTTAAAAATTCCAAAGATTATTTGCCCTTAGTCTGTCTAGCTTATTTATTTAAACAACTTCACTGGTTTGCATGCACTAATGAGACATAATTGGAAGGAAGTAGTGTTCTTGAAAACTTCCAATTTTGTCAAGCATAACTATTACTTATGTTTCAGCTGCACTGTTTCACATCGCATATAATGCCTCATCCTGCACCTAGGCTGAACTATGATTTTTGTTTGAACTGACTAAAAAAATATTGTTTGAATCCACAGCAGAACTAATGGTTTTGCAGTAAAAGAAAAATGTGTCTGCTTGAACTTTCAGATCAGTGTTCAATTCTCTATGATGTGTATGGTATCCTACCATCTCTAGTCGGCAATATGCTTGTTTTGGACATTATCTGCCCAATCAACATTTTGTTGCAGATATAAAGTTATAAACAGTTTACAAAAACACATGAATTATAGTTAAATAAAGTAATTTCCAATTCTATTGTATGTTTTAATGTAAGTAGGTTGGTTCTAAATCCACTGATTCTGATTCTGTTGTTTGGCAATCGAATGTGCCTTAGGTGTTAGATCTGGTTCGAAGAGCTGTTCCACTGGCACTGACATCTGAGAATGATCCAATAAGGGAGGAGTTAAAGAAACTACAGGAGATGAAAAAGGAAATTGATGTGTTGGCACATAAGCAGGTGCGGCGCATCCTGTGGTCAGGACTAGGATTTAGCGTACTTATGGTTGGTTTCTTCTTCCGGCTAACATTCTGGGAATTTTCATGGGATGTAATGGAACCTATTGCATTTTTTATAACAACCACTGGGTTAGTCATAGGCTATGCCTACTTTTTATTCACTTCAAGAGACCCGACTTACCAAGACTTCATGAAGAGGCTATTCCTTTCAAGGCAGGGGAAGCTTTTTAAGAGGCATAATTTTGACATTGAGAGATTCAAGGAGCTCCAATGCAAGTGCAAAACACCTTTACATGCTAGTACTGTCTTAAAAAATCGCATTGGAGTGGAATTGGATCTTGACGATGCTTTACATCGAGATTAACATTTTCATGTGGCTTTACAATTTGTTTCTTTCGAATATATTATGGTTAGCCTTGTTCTTGTTCCCCCTGTTTTAATGTTGTTGGGAAGAAGATTAAACTAACTATAGTTTCTTGGATACACACATTTTCCTTCGTTTTCTTGAATCTTGATACATAGAATAAAGAAAAATGTATAAATATTACGTTCTGTATCCCTTTAAATGATTGCACGTGGTCGTTCTATCAATCGTGTAAAGGTTTTTCAGTGTCGATAATAATTATAATATATGAAAGGTTTAAGAGAGGCCATTAGAAGTTATGCAATGACAAGTGACCTTTCAGACAAAGAAAACCACATATTGAGAAGACGGAGTAAAAGGATACATGAACAAGCTATGTGCATGAATCATTTGGACTTTGGACTGAGTCACAATAAGTATAAGGTGATTGAAAAAAGTCATGGAAATAGTTTAAATTTTCTATGATTTTTTAAGTTAATTTCAATAAATCTTTCAACACAACTTATCACAGTAAGATCTTACTGTAAAAAACTTTAATGGACAGATTTAGAATACGAATTTTCATGTAAAAAAATGTATGAAATAAGTGCTTAATTAAAACTAACGTTACAAACACATCCATGAGTGTTTGATCAATAAAAAATATTAGATAATCATTTAATTAAAGGACAAAAGTAAAATATTCTAAATACTTTTTGTTATTTTTTCAATCAAAATTAAAATTTGCATAATAAAAATTGACATTGAAGAATGGTGCAAGTTATGGAAGTAAATGTTCATTTGGATAATAACATTACAAGCACTTAAAATATGTATAAAGAAATAATTTCCACTTAAACCATATCTGAAATCCTCGTGAAGAAAAAAAATCTTAATTATCTCTAGTTAAAGAAGGTGGAAACTGGATATTCAATTTTATTTTCACTTAAACAAAAATAAATTTGTTTAAGCGAAAAATATAAAAAATAACAAAAAAAAAAATTCATGTTCTTCATGAGAGAGAGTGGAGAGGGACTAGGTGGGTGTGGAGGGATGAGAGAAACAAAAGGAGGGCTGAGTGGGAGTGGGGGAAGAGAAGGAGGACTGAGTGGAGGGAAGAGGGAGGGGGTTGAGTAGGAGATGGGGGTAGTGACTGGGAGTGGGGGTTGAGAAATTGAATAGATATGAGAGTTAGAGGAAGAGAGGAAGAGTTAAGCATGGGAGAAGAGGGGGTGAGAAAAGGAAGAAAGAAGTTGGATACAAAATTGAAATAGGAAGAGAAAGAGAAGAATTGAATACAATAGAAGAAAGAGGCTAGAGGAAGAGTTGAGTATAAGGAGAGGAGAGATTGAGTACAAGGAGAAGAGGGAGGTTGGATAAGCATGGAAGAGAGAAGTTGGGAAGGAGACTTGTAGAAGGTGGGGGACGGGCCAATGTGGAATTCACTCAAGCAAATTTTAAATCCAGTTATCCTGAGAGAGACTCTTATTTCAAATAATATTACCTCCCATAAACAATACCTGTGGAAATCAAAAAGATGGTAGCCAAATGGTTTTCTGAAATGTAAGACCATTGAAACAAACTGTTTTTTACAAGTGCCGTCCATTAAAAAACAACCTGGTGCATCAGCTTTTTTACATAGCCCTATACATATTGCCTTTCTTGTATATTGAAAAGTCACATTCAAGGCAATTCAACAATTCAATCACGGAGTCTTCATTGGATCCTTTGAAGTACTCCAAAATATCAGTCAAAGAAGCCTGAAAACCAATGAAAATTCTCTTACAACTATAATCACAAAGCAAAGCATATGTACATATATATCAGAAAGCTGTGTCAGAAACACAAGTAAGTCTTTCACTAACCCCTTCATCAAGGTTCTTCAACCACTCTACAACAGAACACTCAGTAGCTTTCAATTTAGTTAGATTTATTTTCTCTGTTTCACACAGTTTTTGTCGTTTGCTTGTGAATTCACCCTCAGAGGCTAATGCATGCTTCTGTACCTGGCAACCATTGAGAGATGGAGAAGGAACCTCATTGATTTTTAAGTCACATTTTTCCCTCAAACTTCTGGCAGAAATGTCATCTTCATGTTGCTTTTCTGTGCAGTGTGTTTCTAAGGTAGGGTGTGACAAAGTTGAAGCATTATTTACAGGTTCATCTTTCCCAGTCGGGTGACTTCCAGATTGAATTTCTTCTAAGGATATTCCAGACTTTCGCATCAACAAAAATGTCTTGATATGCTGATAATTTACCTGCACCGTGCAAATTTATTCAATCTCAAGCTCATGGAAGTGATAAGCAGTTTAGCAGCCAGATGCTACAGAACACATATACTTAAGCTCACTTTTTATTGGGTTAACTACTTAGACTCCATGTGTTTTTCATGGAAAATTACCCCTGAATGTTGTCAGGCTCCGGGACACTCGTATATCAGTGGTTAATGAGTAATGTTTATAACATAATAAGAACTTTACATGACAGAGAATATAGCTTCTTGATGATAAAAAATCTGGTGACACTTTAGCCATTGATTACAAATTCTTTCTGAAATTCCTCAGCGGTTGCTACCCTTATCTAGTGATAGTTATACACTCTGACTGATCAATGGATAACATATAATAATATGAGACAATGGTTTAGTAAATGAAAGGACCAGGTATGTACAAGTTAGTATCATTTTGAAGAAAACAAAAGACAAGTAACATATCCAAAAATCAAAGTTGTTGTCGCCAAGGAGAACGGAGCTATAGATAGAAAAACATAGGAATTTTTTTTTTGCATCAATAACAAGATGTACTCAAATCATGATGGTAGGAGATTTGAACTCACATTTTCTGGCAACTCATTTTTTATAGGCTTCAGCTTGTCTGATCCAACCTTTGAAATAGCATTCTGAATTTCTGATATGATCTCTTGGGTCAGTCCTATCATCTCACAGAATCTAGTCCAATTGAAAGGTAAGCCTTCTTGAGCAGCTTCCAGCAGATATTCAACAACAGTTTGTTCCTTTATTGGAGCCGATCTACCTGGATAGTTCTGGTGTTACAAAGAGAGGAAAAGAAGTTATACAGTGAAACATGTGAAGTACAGATCTTTATCAGCAATAACAGACCAGTATGACATACAGCAATCTCTGGAATAGAACGACCATCTTCTTGCCACATTTTCCATGCATCAAACTTTGCTGATGTCAACTTCAATTTGTTGGCTACTGGAGATACTTTCCTTACTTCATTAGTTACCAAACTTGCTTCCCCATCCAATGATAGCTTTAATCCTTGAGACAGTTTCTTAATAACTTGAAGAAAATGATATCCATATTTTGTTACTAGGTGCTGTACAAAATTGTTGGGAGTTAGTATTTCAAACAGACAGAAAAGTAGGAAAAAAAAATGGCTTCAGTTATCTGACGACATGTTTCAGACCAAATATACTTGACAAAGCAAACATGCTCTGAGATATGATTAGTAATCATTAGAATGTAGACCACTGTCAAATGATTGCTTATTCAGATATTTAACTCATGTTCACACTGCACATTACTTCTCCCTTTAAGAAATCTAGAGACGAGAGAACATCATCTTAACATTACAATGACCCTTTGCAATTCGGCAATTTCTCCATGCACCTTAAACTGTAATACCTGCTAAGGATTTTAGAGTTTAGCCCCTACAGGTTTTCTATGTAGGGCTAAGACAAAATTTCTAAGGAAAACAATTTATACAAACACTGAAAAGCTAGAGATGTGTTTTTCAGACAGTCCGGAACTCTGGCAATAGTTAATTATGATGGTGCAAAGACCTTTCATCTGATATATGAAATGAAATAGAAAACAAATTATACTTGGTAGTTCAGAAAATAAGTCACATTCATCTTTCAAAATAAGGCCCAGAATCAAATAATTTGCTAAATAAGGCCTTTTCTCAGAATAGACCAGGCTTTTATAATAAAACATAAAAGATAGTAAAATGCATTGGGTAAGGAACGTCTATCAAATTATAGATTTAGTTTACTGCGAATTTTAAAGTAAGTTAAAAAATATATCAAGATTGAAAATTGAGTAAATAACTTTCAGCCAAAAATAAAAGTGAAGCAAGAAAGAATTCAAACAACGAAATACAAACCAAATTAGGAAATTAAAAAAAATAACATTTCAAGTGACATTTTGATGAGTTCCCCAATTTATTAAGTTAAATTCTATCACATTCAATTGGTTCCAGCTTATTCTTCTTGAACCAGTAAGGCTGGTCCAGTTTGAAGAAATCTTCAGAACTTTGGAGAGTTACCTGATTCACACCATCAATGTTTGCGAGTCTTGCTTTTGTGGATGGCCTTGTCAAAGCAATTTTTCTGATTGTTTGATCACCACATAGAGCATATCTATGAAGTAGGTATAACAGCATTATGAGGAAACCATGAATCAACGAAACTTTTAAGATATTATAGCCTTCGATGTGTTAAAAAGTAAAATAAAACCATACGGAGCTGTTCCAACACTTCTTGCCAGCTTTAATCTTTCTTCTAAAAGCATTTGGTAGAGCTGTCCCTCAGCCTGGGTAGAGAGAAAAACAATACAAATATTAAAATTTAACAGAAATGTACTTCAAAAACAAATGCATATGGTTCATATTTCTTATAAGCAAAACAAATTGAAAACAATAAGACAGTTGCTTACCTTTCATTATCTTTTTTTTTTTCCTTTTATATATAACTTTTATTTATCTTAAATCTACATTTAGTTGTCGACCAGTTATTCAAGAAGCTTCATTAAGGAAATGAGAAAAGAAAGAAAGAAAAGGAGTTAAAGAAACATAAGACTGCTTAATCACCAACCTCTGAAAAACCCTCTGGTGTTGAAGAGGCTAAAGTTTTGAATTCTTGCGTGCTTCTATTTTCCTCTTCTCCAAGCATTTCAGCAGTCAATGACAAAACCAAGGGAGGTTGATAATCTGGTCTAGAAGAGGCCAAAAATTGCTCTCCTTTTGAATTGACACTGATTCATGAAAGAACACAGTTTATGTCTAATTATAGCTTCAGTTATTACTTGTTAGACACTAAAATACAGAGAAACTGTAAAGGTACATAATAGATGGGCTTTGACATTAGATAAAACACTATAATAAAGTACTTCAAATAACTAATGCAATCTACCAAATAACTTGAAGAATTTACCTTATAGTTCTATACATCTCACTAACAATCTCCTTCAAATAACCTGTAGAACATTAAGAGTCAATTATAAATAGCATCTAGCTATTTTTCTCTAATTTAATTTATTGTATAAAATAAAAGATTGTATCATTGTTTTTGTGTAAATTGTGAAGTATGCCATATGTAAAATCTACCACAGCGAGAAATAAACATAAGCTACGAAATAATTAACAAGAAATGCATGAAGAAGTGATTGTGTTTAAAAAAAAAAAAGCCAATTATTTTTCATTTTAATTTGTTTTTTAATATAGATCATATGTTGATACCGCTACTAGGTCAAAAGCTCTGGTCGAAGAAGTGAAAAGGGAACCCATACACTCGGTGGGTTGAATGAAAATGAAAGAAGGGAAGATGAAAATAATGGGGGTCTCCCGCTGTTCTTTATAAAAAATTCACTCAGGTGATCAGACGGAGGCCTCTCACTATTGTAACCTAGTTCTTACAAGTTACAATCCGATCACACCCCAAGACTTTGAAAATGACTACAATGAAAAGTGAACAAGCCAACAATGTAATTAATAGAAAGTGGCAAACAAGATTTCATCATCTCAAGTCTCAACCCACTGAAATCATTTCCAGGATACATAATTTTTTCATCCACAAGTAAAAACTGCCTTCTAATAATTCAAGTCACCAAGTAAAGACAGAACCCACATAGACAGAGCAATAGAAAATGCAATCGATCTACAGAATTCAAACTATGCCTGAAACAAGAATGTCAATGGACAGAACTGTTTGACCATAAGTTATGACTGTAACTGGATAAATTATTTCCACTTAAAATACCTTGAGAAATCAATTGATGTCCAAGAGCTTTCCACCAATTTGCTGGATAAGTTTTCCCCAGTCCATGAACCGGAAGCTTGTCAAACTGGGCATCAAGAATTTTCTTGGCCTACAAGCCACAGGCAAATACAACAATCAGCAGTTGGAAGGACATAATAAAATTTAAAGGTAACAATCAAGGTCAAGGGTGAATGAAAACCTAAATGATATTCATACTTTCAAAGTATACCAAGTAGAAGACATTCTTAAAGCAGTGCAATAATCAGAGGCAGCAAAAAGGGCCCAAATTGCTAGATTCAAAATCGCTTTTGCATATTTGAATATGCTTATTATCTACCATGCCTCGTCTGAATCAGTATACACAAAGGCTTTGATTATTGTCACCAAGAACAAAAGGAAGTATACAGTTTATAGTCTTCTACATTCCACCATGAGACTTTGAGCTAAGAGTGTGCTTTTGTGCATTAGAATAACTGTAATATTCATTATTATGTTTGAACACATTCAGGATTATATTATAAATTAAATCATATCGTGCGTAAATTTAGCATATTTGAAATCAGACTTCCAATGGTGGAGTGAAGACATTTCCATGCTGTTTTCTCTTTTCTTTTCTTTCTTTCTCCTTTGTGCAACTGCAAATTCATGGTGGTCTGTCATTGCATCAGAACCATCACAAATTATTCTTCAGTTCTGCATTCCAGAGACCTAGTTAATCTCCCATCCTTAGACCTATAATCACAAAAATTCCCAAATTTTCTCCTGTCACTCAGTTCTTGATTTGGGCATCAAAATGACTTTTGCAGCTTCATCTTTAAAATATTACATCCAACTTTGACCCTTTTGCAGAAGTTCAATTCTTTTTCTAAAACACATTGATGCAGAACTAGATGAAATTGAATTGACATGTCACATAGGCATACTCGTAAGAAATAAATAAAACAAACCACCACTATCAAGTAAGGCTGAAAAGGGTAAACAACCTACGCTTAAAAGAAAAAGTGACAATAATATGCTAACAATCTACTTATCATAATAAGTGTCAGCAACCACACAAAAATATATTTGTGAATAAAAACACAAGGATAATCAAAAAAGATAAAATGGAGAGAACATGATGAAAAGCACAAGAAACTAAGGCCATCAAACAAGAACACAAAAAGTGAATGAATTCATTCTAAGTGAAACTAAATATTTCCTAATTTTAATTTTGAACAGCTTACTCGAGACCCACGCAGGATGTCAATGGGCATATTGAGGCCCCATTTTCCATTGCATGAATGAATGCAAGCCATCAGAAGAAATGCCTCTCTTGACAAGTCACGCTCCTTCTTTGAAACTTTGCAGTTATCACAGTTTCCTACAAACCACACAAAAGAAACTGAAAATTAGGGCAAAAATGAAAAGTTTATTTTCAAGCAAGCAATATTATTATCAGTTTTGTGAACTAGCCCAGTTAGCTGATATATTAAGTCCCTTAACGAGCCTTGATTTGAATTTCTTTGTAACAACTAACAAGACTGGTGTATACAACATGCATGAGTCATGATCCACCTTGAGGAGGAGTATTAGGATTAAACGCATAATATTCCTCAAATTCTATAAAGTCAACAAAATACTTAAGCTCAAACTTTTCAAGTGGACAATTGTAGTAAAGGATCTAGGTGAAGGACAAACCACATCTATCAGCTGAAAAATTTTCCCCAAAGTATTCAAGCAAGAACTTTCTTCTGCAAGTTGTCAGCATACAGTAGCGTTCAGCAGCCAGCAATGACTCCATGACAGCTTTTCTTTGCTTTTCCTGGTACATTGGAGGCCACACATGCTAGTAAGAGAATGAGGATAACTTTTCCGGGAAATCACAAAAATCATTAGCAAACTTTTTCTGATAAATAATAACAAAAAAACACATACTGTTTTTAAATCTCGACAATAAAAATCTCCCTTTGCAAAGTCACTTCTTGTGTAGTAAAGCCAACAAACAGAAGCTATACCATCTCTACCACATCGCCCACTTTCCTGGTAGTAGGACTCTACACTCTTAGGGCAACCATAATGAATCACTTGCCTTATGTTAGGTTTATCTATGCCCATGCCAAAGGCAATGGTGGCCACCATGATTTTCAGTTCATCTCTAACAAATAATCTGAAGAAATTAGCAAACAGTTCAGTTAGTTTTAAAACACATTGATTCAACATTAGAGAGAGAGAGAGAGAGAGAGGGTGAAGGGAGGGAGAGAAGGAAGGAACATGCTCCACCTTAACAGTGATCAAAGGTGAAAATTTGCTTCATATTCTAAAATAAGAATGTTCACCTATGAGACTCCTCTCGAGCTTCTGCATTCATTTGGCCATGGTACATTCCTGCCTCCATACCTGCTTCTGCAAGTGTCTTGAATATCTATTCAAAAAAGGATCAAGAAAAAAAAAATTAAAATAAAAGAAAAGGCTGCAGTCAATACATACAGACAGAATTTAGACAATAAAAATCCAAACAAGAGTTCCAGTAGGTATTCCAGTTTTTCATATAACATGATGAGAAACCAAGAGATAATCAACTGGAGCAATTGAATAGAAAATGGCAGAAGTTCAGGAATAAATGATACTCAGTGGATGTTTCAATCCAACTACTTTTCTTTTTGCATATCCAAGAAGACATACTTATTGTTAGCAGGAGTTTTACAATTTTTTCCTTCACAAAATGGGTTGAAAGTCCTCATTTTGGTCTTGAATTGTGATCAAATACCCCATACAATACCATGCACCACCGTTTTAAATTATTGTGCCTAAAAACTAAATAATCTTGAGTATCCAGTCAACTATCCCTTCAGCATAGTTTATTAAATATACTTTTGAGTCTCATGACAGTCTTCCATGATCCTTTTACTGAAATCCAAAATATTATTTTCAATACAAGAACCAGATAGAAAATTAACTGAATTTAAGGTTCAAGTGGATATTAGTAACACAATAGCATCGCAACAGTATTTTGGTATTCACTTGTAACATTTATAGCACATTACCTGCTCTACATCTTTGATTGTTGTGCAGTAAATTATAGTTGAACCACCACTAGCAACTTCTTTTGAAATTCCTAGCACAAGCTCATCAATAAAAGCTTGTCCGCGGTTAAATAGTTTGACACCATAGAAAAGATTTGCTCGATCAAATGAACCAACCATAACATAAGGATTATTCATCTTCAGGGAACTGATGATGTCAAATTGAACCCTGGCGTATAAAACAGAAAAGAACATGACAGATTGTTTATCTCATTTTATTAAATAAAGTTAGAGTATACTGTTAAGTAAAAGAATCATGAAGTAAGACAGTGTAAATGGAAGAAGCATCACATAAATTCACTAATTAAATTTTAGAAAGTAGTAGTTATCAATAAATTCTAATCCATTCTTATAACATGCTTAGAATAATGCTCAACACAAGTAACAAAAATACTTTCCTGTTAATGAGAATATGTTATAAAATAGAAAGAGAAAGAAACTACCAGAAGTACACTGTATGGGAAGTACTGGTGGGACTGTTGCATCAGTAAAGATTTAAATGAAATAAAAAATATCTTAGAACAAGACCATCAGCAGCCCTCCCCAATCCTCTAACTGAGTTTATTAGAAAGAAATTAGAATTCTGCAGATGTGGGTCAGTAACTCCAGAACCCGGTAACTTGTTTTTGCCACAAACAGCATCAATTTTAAAACTTAAGTAAATTAATGGGCTTAAATAGAATTGGATCATAATGTCGGAATGTTTATGAACAGAATTCATCTATCTCTGGATCTATATCAACTAGATACCAGATCAGAGAGAAAGATACAAATCAGTGCTTAATAACAGAAGCACTACTCTCCTACCCCAGGATATTCAAATCCTGGCTCTTCTTCCTTCAAATATTGCCCCTGAATAACTCCCTGTATCCTCCCCCCCCCCCCCCCCCCTTAATTCCGTCTCTTATTGCCTGCTAGTAATGGAGAGACAGACAAGCAGATAGAAGGCAGAAATGGACTGAGGCTTGAATCCAATGCTAGCAAAGCATAAAATTAAACACGGTGCTTACCACACTGACTTGAAAGTAAAAGTGAATTTGTCAATAAACAACAGTTTGGAGAGCAAAACATATACAAGATAAAGGAGGCAGAAAATGAGCCTTAGAATCATTATGAAGTACAGAAACGATACGCTTCACTAAGTTTAACAGCCCAAGCAAAAGATACTTACTTTTCAGTAGCAGTGGCAGTTAGACCAACAAAAGGAACATCTAACAGAACCTCACGTAACTTATCTAAATGCTTGTATTCCACCCTAAAATCATGTCCCCATTCTGATATACAATGGGCTTCATCAACAGAAAAATGACTAATTCCAACCTTTAGCAAGTTGGACCAGAAACTGCACAAATAAAATGAAATTTAACAGATCATAATTAGACAAGACAAAGCCTAGACTAAGATTGGTGATATAAAATAATCTTGAAAAGCTACACCCAACTAACAATTAATAGTTAATTGCAAGCATACTTGAGCATTATCACCTCAATCACAAGAAAGATGCATCAGAACACACGCAAGTTCACAAAGGATAAATGAAAACAAACAGAAAAATAATGAAGCGATGCTCATGCCTCATGTATGATAATCTCCCAGACAAACTAATATAGTAAAACTCCAAGCAAATGGTCTCTCCAGATCCTTGGGGAACCAAACCTTGATAAAATAAGGAAAAATACTTTGTTTTTTATCTGGTTATGATTTTCAGTAACTTTTACCACTTTTAGTACAGAATATACAACTTACCTTGGCCACTGAACATAAGAAAGAAAACTACTATTTGAGTAAAATATTTTTAACCATGAAATATGAAATCCATCATACAAAACTTTTTAATTTTCTACAGACTAAAATAACTAAAATTCTTATTCCAGGGTGAGGGATACGATAGGGGGGAAGTTCTTGAAGTTCATCTCCCTATATAAAATATATACCCAAATATTTAAAAGAAAATAAACTAATAAAGTACACAAGTCATATAACTTCTAGAGTCATTCCACACTTCAATTTATTACTAAGCTAAAAAATTAATATTAATGCGCTCAAAATAAGTTCGCAATCTACACTGATGAAGGTTCAAGGTTATGCATAAAATCTTTCCAGTACCTGGTAGGAATTGTGCATGCCTTTTCAGGAGTCATGAACAGAATGTCAAATTGACCACGTTCAGCTTTAGAGTGTACAGTGGAATCCTTCTGAGCACTTCCAAGATATTCAGCTTTAATGCCCCGTTGTTTCAAAGCCATGACCTGTTTGCCCAGTCTTCCGTATTAGATAATCACTATTTGCCAAAACAGACACGCATTTAAAGCATAGATATGTAACAAAAAAAAAAAAGGATGCATCGGGGAGAATTGATCACTTCACCTGGTCTTGCATCAATGATATCAGAGGGCTTACAACTATCCCAGTCTTGTTAACAACCAAGGGAGGTACCTGATAGCTGTTAAAGCAAAAATACAGCTTCAGTTTAAACTCTCCAGTTTAAGGAATTAGCTTCAGGAAGAGGGAAAAACATAAAGTAAGAGAAAATGATGATGTTTTTACCACAAGGACTTCCCACTACCAGTAGCCATGACTACCAAACAATCCCTTTTCTCAATAATTTTCTCAATAACTTCTTTCTGATAAGGCCGAAAATCTGAAAACCCAAAGTATTTCTGGATAACACTAACAAACATATCAGCCTCCAAAAATCATAACACTCAAATAATATTAAAATTGATAACACATAGACAACAATTGATGGAGCAACTCAACAACTTTTCCACTGCACGTTCAATTTACTTTTAATATATGTAAAATGCAACAAAAACCACACTTTTTTCGAACCCACCAACGAAATTGAAAATCAGCACATGAGTATCATAGTTTTCTTACAACAAGTAAAAGAAACGATGAAACTGAAGTTAACAGCATTGTAAAACCAATTTAACTATCTTCACCTTCTACGAAGAAGAAAGAAGTAAAGTGGCAAAGGAGAATGATTACGGTTACCTTGAGAAGGGAAGGCATAGTGTCCATGGTGAAGAGAGGAAGAAGGGAAAACCGTAAGGTTACAAAGTTGGAATGGAAGCCCCTAAAGAAGTGACATGGTTACTGGGGAACACTGATACTCCCGCCAAATCAACAAGAGGCACATACTGATGGGCCTAGGCCCTCACTTGGGCTGGGCTTAACATTGTCATAATCATGAACCATTTATTTTGATTTAAAATAAAAAAATAGGTATGAAAAAAAAAGGATGCTTTTGACAAAAAAAAAATGCTATAATTATATAATATTGATAAATTATTCTAATCTCATAGTCACACCCACTTCATTATTTGGAAAGTCATTTCATTGATGAATTATGCTAATCTGTGTGAAAAGTCATTTTATTAATAAATTATGATAATTTCATAATCATAAGATACTTTAGAAAGTTATTGTTAATTAGAATGAATAACTTTGTTTATTTGAAATCACTTGTTATATCATTAATTTTATTAATTTTTTCCCTTGTTATTAGGGTAAAGCTTAACGGATATACAGTATAACTAAAGTTAGTATTTTAATTTTTAAATTTAATTCTTAAAATTATTAATTATTTATTATTGTAGTGGTGAGAAGAAAATGTCATAAAAATGAAATAGAAAAATAGAAGAAAACAAAGAAATATTATTATTTAAAAATATAAAAAAACGAAGGCTTAGTTTAATCAGATTATCAAACAACCTTCATAAAGCTAAGTTTAAAGAAACTTTTAAAGTCTTTACATAAAGAAAAAAACCAATATAAAAAATAATAAAATTTTTCTTATAATTTAAAAATAATTTATATTTCTTTATTTTATTATAAAAAATTTTATTTAACTTCTCTAAAGTTTAAAGAAATAAATTATTTTTAATTTATAAAAAATTATTCATTTTTTATATTAATTGTTTTCTTTTTTTTTTTTTATAAAAGCTTATTCAAACTGAACCTAAATATGCCACTCAAAAGTTACAAAGCAAGAGATAAATTATTGATCGACTAAATTGTCCAATTATTTTCTTGAGAAAGTTACAACAAAAAACTCTGATACAATATAAATGTTTGTTATGAAACACAGAATCATCAAATTTTGTTCCATTATTTTCTAGAAGACAAATTTTCTGTATTCATCAGCCTCAATAGCCATTTCTTCTAGGCTCCTGTCTCTCCTCTCTTTATCCACCCCAAGCTCTCTATTCAACTCCTTCTCCTTTTCATTTATCTGCATCATTGACAAACATTCACTAAGGAACAATCATCATATCAATGTCAAAGTCAGAATAATTAGAAATAGTGGATGAAACACCCAAATTATTAGCAAGAAATAGAAGTTTTCATCTTACTTCATCATATATGTCATCATTGTTCTCAAAATCATCATTTTTCCTGGGAAGTATATGTATATGAACATGAGGCACCGATTGCCCTGCTTGGGGTCCATCCTATGATTCAAAAAGATTATTTGGTTGGTTCAAAAGCATAACATGGCAAGGGATGGTATCTGTGTTAGTCTTAAGTACGTCTCAATAAGTTCAATAGTAAAATTTATAGTATAAACTCCTTATACAACAAAAATTTATTAAATAAACACTTAATTAAGCTATTATCTAAATAAACCTTAAACAATTACATCAAAAGAATATGACTATAGTACTTATTACAAAGTGAAAAACACACTATTAAAGCTTTCTTCAAGTGTCTTACTTGGATACAAAATGTAAGTGATGATGCCTTATGGTAGCTCTCTAGCTGCCTACCAAGTTTCTTAGCTATGCACCATAAATCAATTGTCTCATCATCAGTTAGATCAGCAACGCGCTTGGCTTCGCGCTTAGGACAAACAAGAACATGTAGATACTGTTAAGTCAACCAAGTTCAGCTTCAAATAGCCAACTAGATTGAAGTTTACATAATGCAAAATAATTGAGCCTAAGTAAGCAACAATGTAAGAAAAACAATATCAAGAAGTGTGGTGGTTCACCGATAAAAAATCTGTGTGTGTATAAATTTCACTGCAGAGGTGTGCAGTGTACAATTTGACCATTCAAATTTATTAAAATATATTATTTAATAAAATTTTACATTATACTAATATAAATTTAATAGTTAAGATTGAATGCAGAGGATGTCTTTCTGATTTTTCTCCGATGAAACAAGTTAATTATGTTCACTTGGGGTGTAAAACATATGAAATATCCCTATGAGTAATTAAGCAGTCACATGAATCTTGTAACAAAATTGTTCATAGTAACCATTTCAATCATATAATGAAGCTACATATGCTGATATGTAGACTAATGATAACAATCCTTCAAAGCTCGTTGTGGAGGATCATCGCATATCTAATGCCATCTTTAGATGGTTTTAGCTTTCCTAACAAATCAGTTCCTCATAAATCATCCCAACTCAGCATGTATTAATAACATCCTATTAAAAAGGATATGACCTGCAAATGGAAAATAAAAATAAAAACATCTAGCAAGTTACCTCGTTGGAAGCAGAAATGATTTAAAAGTAAGTAATTGTTTATAAATTTAAATTTTATTGTTAATTTAATAAATCAATGCAAAACACAGTGCACTAATTACCCGACGAATGCTACAAAAGTTACATAATTTTTTAATCATTAGATTTATCTCAAATTTATGCAGGGATGAATTTATATTCCTTTTCATAACTCTGCATATTAGTTGTTCCTCATTGCTTTTTCTGGCATGCCTAACTGCGTCTTTGATTCAAGATTACCTATTTTCTTATTTTCATAAATAATTACAATATTGTCACTTTATTTTACTGCTTTCAGGGATCTTATTATTTTCACTGTTTTTGCGTAAATCATTGAAGACAAAATAAAATGAAAATAAAGTTACAATTTTGTAATTATTTGTGAAAATATAGAAAGTAAACTAAACAAGATGTCTTAAAATAGACAAGCCTAATAATTTTCTTTGCTAAACAACAAATTTTAAACGAAAGCCTTCAGAAAAACATATATTTATCTATAAAAGAAAATGGAAAAGAGAAAAGAAAAGATTATGCCACTTTGAATAATGGAGATAATGAAGCATGATCACAAGAGAAGTGAGAACAAATAGGTGAGGGAGCAGGATACCCGGCACAGCAGGACGCAGGTTGACAAAGGCAAAAGAAAGGTCACTTGTATGGAACACTGAACTATGGTGGATCTTATGAGGCCCAAAATCATAGTATTCACCAGCCATCTATATTTTCAGCCTAAACAAAATCGTTATTCTCAATATGCAAAAAGGAAATAACAAGGATAATATTTGATGATTTTGGTTAGTTGTCTATCTACCTTGAGGGGCAAAAGAGAAAATAATGATCTGGACAAATGTACAAGAATATGCAGTAGCAGATATGCTTTACAATTTGCATTTTGCTTTGAAATTTATAGGTGTAAAACCAAGTCCTTCTTTTCTTGGTCATTTTTTTATATATATATAATTCTTCTTACTTACTCCCTTAGTCTCTTTCTTTGGAAAAATAATAGAAAAATTACAAATTAAGAAGTGTTCGGAAAAATATATTAAAATATGGGAATGATTGAGATAATGAGTAGTTGATTAAGTCAACATTCAATGTTTGTTAAATGCTTTTCCTTGTTTTGTTTTTCCCCTCTAAAACAGGCTTGAAACCCATGGAACAAGATAATCTCTAATAAGTACACACGCTTCACTAAGGATGGAATAAGTTGAGCAAAAGAAAAATACTAAGGATGGAATAAATGTCATTTGCTTATGTAAAAGTTGTTTCCTTAGTACTCTCCTTACCTCAAAATGTTGTTTCCAAGAAAACCTTTGGAATAATTTGTATAATATTTTGTTGGGATCATTTACCTTCCTTCCACTGCCAATAACTTTTTTAAAAATGACAACTAGTCTAGCGGCAAATATTTATTTTATTTAGAGTTGAAGATAAACAAATAATAATAAAAAAAAATTATTAAAAAAAATATTTATACACTTTTATAACTTTAATATAATAAATATAATTTTTTATTAAAAAATTTTTATTTATGAATGCTTAAACTTAACATTAATGGCTAAAGAATGAATAAAATAAAATAAAAAATTAGAATAACAATAAAAATGTGATAGAAACATTGTTTTTTATAAATACTTTTTATTTTTTATTCTTTAACATATTTTAGGAACATTTTTTTAACATTCTACCATATAAATTCAGACACTTGATATTTTTATTTGGTCATTTACGGACAAAACATTCGGGTAGGCATTTATGTAACTGTGCTGAAATTCGAAGGATTAGGCGTAGGTTTGGAATAGGGTATTGCAGCTAGAAAAAACACGGAACGGATTGAAGTTATAGTTTACAAACTTGGTTCTAAGCAACTGGTTTTATTTCAATACTCAAAGATGTTAATAGACCATAAATTACTTAATATTATCAAATTGACATAGTGTATAAGTTGACTGACTCATTGAGAAAGAAAACACATTATAATGGAAAGATGTGTACACACGGAATGAGGGAGCATTTCTTTATTAAAAATTGTAAATTATGATTCATGAATGGTTTGATGACAATATACTTTTCTTTTGTAATTATGGTAATTGACGGTTTTGTTATTTAACTAGATCACATCACTATCAGACTAGCCAAGACTATACACCTTGAGCTTATGAATAATTGCTCTCTGAGTGGAGGAAGCATAACTTGTGTTGAACCCTTTTATAATTCTCCAACACTACCAAGCAAAGCTGAGGCTAACAGAAAAAGATAAAGCACTAAGTTTTGTTACTTTAAATTGAACCAAATTGTCATCATCCCTTGATATGAGTACAATGCTACATGTAACCATAAATAATAAGTTCCCCTGAGGACTAGAATTTGTGTGATTTGTATGGTTCAGTGCAATGCAAAGTTCTAAAGTGGTGGAATAAACTTTTCTGTGGCTACTAGGAAGTGCATTAAATGATCTATAATGAGAAAATCTGCAGACAGAATTTAAATTCTGCCAGCCAAAAAGTTATAAGAAAAGTTTTCTGTATTCATCTGCCTCCTGAGACATCTCTTCAAAGCTTCTGTCTTTCCTCTCCTTGTCCAAGTCAAGCTTTTCTTTCAATTCCTTCTCCTTCTCATCCATCTGAACCAATTATAAACAGTAGATTAAGAACACATCAAATGAAACAAAATATCAAAACCACATTATAGCCATGAGAAAAAAATTCATCCTACTGCATCGTATATCTCATCGTTCTTCTCAAAATCGCCACCTTTCCGAGGGACAACATGAATGTGAACATGAGGCACTGTCTGTCCTGCTTGGGGGCCATCCTAAGTTACATAAAGATAATTCAATTATTTTTATGAGACACAAGGAGCATTTAATGCAGCCAGCACAGTTCGTAAAAGTAAGGAAAATTTGAATACCAAATACAGGCCAAATTCACAAAATTGAATCGCCCCCCCCCCCCCCCCCAAGTATTTGATCATCTTATCAATATAAAATATGCTGAACATCAAATGATGGAGATCAAATCTATTTTCAAATATCACCACCTAAGAGTAATTACAAAATATTATAGAGAAGCTGTAACATAGAATTTGGAAACAAAATCCAGAGAAAAAAGAAAGTATCATGCACCAATAAACAGTCATATATTTCATACAATTGACAATTTGACATAGGACAATAAGTTCTTCAACATTTCATCTTTTCATCTACCATAATGCTAACATATGAAAGTGTCATCTTGTTTACATTGAAAGAGAGAGAAGTTGTTAACAAGAAGAAGGAAAGAAAAGCAGAAGAAAAGACATGATGGCAAGTTTGCAACACAAACTGCACAACTAGAACTGAACAAGAAATATGAACAATAAATTATCTTCCAGAAAAAAGAAATATGGTTTAAAGAAGAATGAATTTAATAAAAAGTAGTTAGTAAGAGAAATGGTTAAATGGGCATAGTCCACATCAATCTTACTTGGATGGCCAAAGTAAGTGATGAAGCCTTGTGGTAGCTCTCAAGCTGTCTTCCAACTTTTTGTGCAGTGAGCCATAAATCAGAAGTCTCATCAGCGGTGAGATCAACAAATCGTTTAACTTCACGCTTTGGACAGATAAGCACATGTGAAAACTGTTAAGTCAATCATTTTCATAGCCATCTGGATTCAAGCTTTACAACTTCTCACTAAGCATCATAAAAGAATCTCACACTTAAAACTCAACGCTCTTTAGTAAATAACTGTAGAACTAATATAAATATGAAGACTATGCGTGCTTCCACCACTTCCAAACCAACATATGCAGGACACAAATAAACTCCTTATGCTTATATCGTATATCAAACAATTAACTGCATATGGATAATCTATCAACAATTGAATCATTCTAGTGATCATGATGAAACCATAAACCAAAATGGACGCTGATTATATAAAGAAGCTCCATAAGCAGACTCACTAAGATGTTTCTCAGAGTCAAGGACCAAAACCCCAGAATATATTGTGCTGAATTACATGATCTTTGTATATGTTTGTGCTGCAGTATCAGTCAGCAACAAAACTCAACATAACTTGTGCTTATTACTGTTTTTCCAACCAAAACAGTGACAATTGACAAACTATGAAATTCACCCAATTAGAAGTTGCATTCACTGTTTAACTAAAAAAAAGGGATCAACCATCTCAGCCTAGCATTGTGATTTAGAAACCCGTATAAAGGATATGACCTGCAAAGGGACAAAAACGAGTAAATCATCAAAATGGATCGTTTGTAATCACAGAAAAGACAACAATTTCATAAACAACACAGTAAAAAGACAATTTTTTTTGGCTTTACTTTTGTTTTAGCAAATCAATTGGAAAAAGAAAAGGGTACACCAAAATGAACTGAATTATGGGTGTATGAAAAATTAGCCATGACGAGTATTCATAAATCTTACCAGGGAGAAGAGGACGCAGGTTAACCATGGCATAAGAGAGATGGGTGGAGTAGAACACTTCACTGTGGGGAATCTTGTAAGGCCCAAAAGTGTAGTCTTCTGTAGCCATCTGAGTGAAGAGACCAAGGAAAATGGTTAGAGATTGAAAATGGTAAATAAGAGATGATGGATATTCATTCACCTTGATGGTAGAGAACCCGATTGGTCGGATTCGTAACGCTGTTGAAGAGAGTGGCAGAAACCAACGAGGAATGTGGCCAATGCAGGGCAACGACACCATTTGCACCTTCAAACTTTCACATTTAAAAATAAAAAATAAAAAACTCTAAAAGAGAAATCAGTTTAACTGTGTACTGTGTCTTAAAATAAAAATTTAAATAATTTAGAGTTGGGATTTTCTTTAACCAAATAAGAATAAGAATGGAACGTGTGATTTAAGATTTGGGGTCTGTGAAATTTATTATCTAGTGATTTAACACCTGCTCATTGAATATATTTAAATTAACGATTTTTTAAAATTATATTTTAAGTCATAAGTTAAGAATTTATATACAATAAATTTTTATAAAATAATAAAATAGTATAATATTTAATATATTAATAATATTAAAAAATTATCAACGTATACTCACTTATTTTTTAAGTATGAAATAAAATATTTAATTTTCTTAAAATATACATAAAATGTAGGTAATTAAAATATTTTTTTTCTAAACAACAACTAGGTATATGCTAACGAACTCTTATTAAATACAATAATTTTTAATAAAATTTTATTATTTTTAATTTTTAAATTATATTTTAAATATTTATTAAAAATGTTAGATTAAAATGTAAGTTATTGTATATTTAATAATGAATTTTATTTTTTTATAAATATTTCAACGAAATAAAAATAAGGAAAAGAAGAAGAAATAACTTTATTTGAATTTATAAAGAGGATGGATAAAGAGGTGTTAGCAAAAAATATATAATAAAATAGTATTTTGGTCGATGAATAAAATTAATACCAAAAAAAAAAATATTACGTTGAAAATGAAAAGCCCAGTCCAAAAGATGATTAACAAATAAATAAGAAAACAGTGGTGGGCTAAAAGCCCAATCCATAATCTCTCTCTCTCTTTCTCTGACTCTCTCTTTATCCACCGAGTTTATCGTGTGATTGTGGCACTGAGAGACGGCAATGGCGTCCGTTGCGGTTATGGCTACGAGCAGTGACAGCAAACTGTCTATGGCTTCCTTGCTCTCTGCTTTGCCTTCTCATTCTTCTTCTCCAATTTCCTCTTCATTGCACTTTCCTTCATTCAAATCTTCATCATCTTCTTCAATGAAACTCCGAATTTCGAGAACCAAACTCAAATCCCTTCTTACCCCTTTCACTGGACTTGTCCCTCTTAACTCTCTCTTCCTCTCCTCTGCTTCTTCTTCTTCAGGTAACTATGATAACAATTCCTGTACATTGAAAATCTATCACCATTTCGATGTAACATTCTAATTTTTAGTTAATTGTTGTTCATTTATATCATTCCAGAACCTTAGGGCCTGCTATATAGAAAGTGTTTTCTATTTTTTTGTTTTTACTAATAAATATAATTATTATTTCTTTCTCCTATGTTTCAAATATTGGTATGGGAAAATAATTTCTTCACAAGCTTTTAAAATTGAAAATAAAGTAAAAATAATGTGGCATTTTTATAGTTTCTGTGTGTGTGAAAATAGGAAGTATATTTTAAACCAATTACTCTTTAGGATGCATTTGGATATCCAATTTAATTAAGCATTTGTTAGTAAACTTGTTTTAAACGATAGTTTATACAATAAATTTAACCATGGAATTTTTTAGACTAAGATAAAAACAACTTATTGAGCTTAAGAGCTATGAATCATTTTCATAAAGTATCTACAAATCATTCCAGAAGAGCCCTTAATCTGATAGGCCCTATCAATAACTTAGTATTGTTCTTGTTACAACATTGCTGTTGAGGTTGTTGGGTGTGAATGAAATTTGCTTCCTAATTGCGTACCCTTTGAAATTTGGTAGTCCTCTTGTAATATAGAGTAACTTCAATTATGCTTCCCATTGCCATTGACTTCACTTCTGGATTTTATCTTCTTGTTGCAGAATATACTGGCTATGATCACTCTCTTACCATTATTGACAATGGTGGTCGAGTCTATGCCATGAGGCATGGGAGGAGGGTGCCAAAACTCAACCGGCCACCCGATCAGCGCCGCGCACTCATTCGAGGCCTTACAACTCAGCTTCTTAAATATGGCCGCATCAAGACCACCAGAGCAAGGGCCAGTGCAATTAGGAAGTATGTTGATAAAATGATCACTTTGGCAAAGGATGGGTCTCTTCATAAAAGGAGACAAGCCCTTGGGTTCATCTATGAGAAGCAAATTGTTCATGCTTTATTTGCAGAGGTTCAAGAACGTTATGGTGAAAGAAATGGGGGTTATACAAGAATTATAAGAACCCTACCGAGGCGGGGTGATAATGCTCCCATGGCTTACATTGAACTTGTGTAACCATTGCTTTTATTTGGGTGCAATTGTTAGCAATCTCACTGCAATGTTGAGCGTGGGTATGCATCAATGGTAACGATTGATTCTACAGTTTTCCTCCTATTAAGTTGTATTTGATTATTTGTATTATGCCTATTTGACTAGTTCTTGGTCTGCATCTCTTTCTGTACTCATGGACAAACAACCATCTTTGATCTTAAGATATTATCTGTAGAAGGTTATAGATCACTTATTTTTTAAGATTACAGATGCTTTGACTATTAAGTGCGTTTGTATTTGTATTATGCCTTTTTTTATTAGTTCTCTGTTTGCATCGCCTGTACTTATGAGCAAACAATCATCTTTGATATCAAGTGATCATCTGCATAAGGTTATATATTCACTCATTGTTTTGAATTACAGATATTTTAAGCATGTTTTTGACTAATTCTTAGTTTGTATCTCCTTTTGTACTCTGAACAAACCAACCATCTTTGATTTTAAGTGATCCTGTGCAAAAGGCCATATTGTACTTACTTTATATATATAATAGCAATTTGTGCAAAAACGAGTACAATAGTAATACGCTGTTTGATTTAAAGAAAGGAAGGGTAAGTATACATTGTTTGGCTCATGAGGAGAGAGGAGGAGGAAAAATGAAATAATTAACTAATAAATTTCAGATAAGACATGAGTAACACATGAACGCATGACACCTTTCGCATCTGGCAAGGCAAACCATTACTCTATTAGGCTTAGCTTCTGTGTAAATAAGGCATAACTGAAGTAGCAGGGTGCTTACAATCTTGCATGACCCGATCAAAGACAAGCATACTCAAGAGTTACTATTAACAATTTGATTACCATTCTATTGTATGCACACGCAGCCCAATTTGAAATAGATTATTTTTAGTTGGTATTTTATTTGGCTCGTCTACTACTTTGTTTAGTTCTTCAAAAACAAAATTTGAAACTTATGTAGTGTGTTTGAGTGTTTCTGAACTTGTTTTAAATTTTGAAATGAAGTGATTAGTATTTGGAAATAAAAAAAAATAGCTTTAAAGCAATTTGGTAAAAACTAGTATTGAATTCTGAATTTTTCTTTTTTTCTTTTTCATCTGACTCCTTCAAAGTTCAAAAGTCACAATTGTTTTGATTATTTTAAGTCAAGTTAGGTCCCATTTAAGGGGTGAATTTCTCTTAATCCCCATCTCCATTCTCAAAACTAAAACTTTTAACACTTTACTTATAGGGAATTAGACTTCTCATCACTCTGACCAGCAAGGCAAGTGTTCATAAGAAGAGGGGGGGAGGAAGAAACAAAAATAAAAAACGAATATGAAGAGTTAAAAAAACTAATAGAGAACAAAGAAGTTGATTCATTTTAATTTGTTAAAATCAAATGTTTCTTTTTTCTTTTGTAAACTATATTATATGCCTAATTGTTTTATTACATAAAATTTAGGTGAGTTTAGTTTTGAGAGTTAACAAAAGTCAAAACATACTCAAAAGATTTTCATTTCGACAATAAAATTTGCACTCATATTCTCATAGAAGAATCAAATATTTACTGATTAAAACAATCTTTGTTGACATTATACACCTAAGTTGTTTCATGTTTATATTCATCATTTACGAGTTACAATATTTTTATATTAAATTAAAATTAATAACCTCGCAAATTTTATTTGTCGTGCTTATCACAATTGAATTTAAAATTAATTTAAAATAATGTACATTTTTTTACTTATGAAAAAATTATAATTTTTAAATTTATTTTAATAATTTGTATGATCAATATTATAACATGAACTCATATTACAATTAAACTATTTATCTAGACATATCCTTATTTAACAAGTACTGTCCTAATACATTTCGATTTAAGTTATTTAGGAAATTGCCAACGTGGAAATAAAGTCATTAAGAGGAGAATAAAGTTAAGAAATTTTAAATAGTTTGCAGGATATTTAAAATTTAATTTTCTGACTGTCATTAAAAAAATTCCAATGATATAAACTCTATTAAGTAAATAAATTTTAGTTAAAATAGTTTTATTCCTTATAGATAAATTAACCTTGTTAAGATTTTAATAAAGTCTAATCCAAGGCCCAATCCAATATAGGAGAGAGAAGAGTGTTTGGACTAAGTTTGAAAGGTTCTACTCTCTAAGCTGTCTTGACAATTTTAGAGTGGAGCTTTTGAGTTAATTGAGATTTGCATATATTTTTTTAACTTTTTTTTAGTTTGGGGTTGTAATTTCAATTTTTATTGAACTTTTTGTAACTTTTAAGTTTTTATAATGTCGTATCTGAGCTCTAATATTATATTAGAATTTTAGTATAAGATCGATCCAATATTGGAGAAAGAAAAATGTTTTGACTTAAACTTGAAATATTCACTTCTCAACAATACCTTAGTTCTCTCAATTAAATAATGATTAGTTTATTGTTACCCTACCCACTTAAAATTTAATATTTCAACAAACTTTTAAATTTTGAACTATAGCATGTGTTGTTTTAATTTTTTTAATTAAACACATTTAGTTGCTATCATTATCATAGTCTCGTTAAGTTCTCTTGCATTAAATACATTTCCAATTCAGTATTATGGGACAGGTTAGTATTTAATGGAATTTTTTTATGATAAGAATAAATTTCAACTCATTGTTATGAGCATATTTAACGGACTTATTTGACAATAGCAGGGATTATAAAATTTACTTTTAAAAAAACAGCAAAATTTAAATTTACAAAAGGCTAAAACTGTAATTTATTAAAGTTATAGAACATACTTTAGCAACCAATTTGCAATACGATAAGGCGTTTATACGTCACAGATTGTTTTAATTTATCATGTACCAAAACAATATTGATTGGAATATAACGATGGTACAATTTTTTACTAACAAATTATTATACTATCACATATCATTAATTTTTATGATACTTATTTGAAAATTTATTTTTATAATAATTTTTAATTAATAATAACGTAAAAAATTATGCTGACAATATATTAAAATTAAATTAAAAATTTTGATTGAATTTGTTATTTTAGTAACATAAATTACATATACACTAAGGTAATTAAATATTGGGAAAGTAACTAAGAAGGCACGTAACATAGGTAGATTTTAGATAACTAGATAAGGTTGTCGTTGATATCTCCCAACTTGTCCCATTGTCCATGCGCCATTTGCTGTCTTCCCTTCTTCTCCCAAGTCCCATACACAAACACACACACTCTTTCTATCTTCTCCCAATTTAGTAACACACAAATTTTGTGGGTGAAGAAGAAGATCAAGATGCTGGGTATGGCCACTCTAACTTTGGGTTCATCAACTACAGTGGTGGCTCAGAGCCATGCTCAACAACATGCCACCACTCTTGTCTCTGCCAGTGGAAGCAGAAGGCACAGTGTTTCTAATAGGAATTGCTCTTTGCCTGTGAATTTGGTGCTACCCACCAACCAAAATTGCAACTTTTTCTCTTCCTTCAAGGAACCAACACATGCACGACCCTTTAGCACAGCTGTTGCATCTGTTGATTCTGACCAGCTCAATTCTTCTGATCCTCCCACTAAGGTTTCTTCCTCCCTTTTACACCAACCCCACATTGGAATTTGTGTTCAATTTCAGTTTTTTGTAATGCAATTTTGGTGTTCTTGCTAATATTTTCTCTGTTGAGTGATATTATCCTTCTTTCTGAAAATTTGGTTTTTGACCGTGTTAAGATAATAAAGTCCCGCTTTGATGGGTCATCAACAAATCAAACGTTATATAAGCTAAAAAATCCGAGCTCAGTGATATAATGTGATCCATGTAGCTGATCTTACTTAGTGAGATAAACAAAAAGTTGTTGTTGTTGTGAGTGATGTTATCCTTATCCTAAGAGAAAACGGTTGATGATGTAATATTTGAGTTGGGTTTTGGTGGTAGTTAATTTATTCATGTTTTGTTCAACTTTGTAGGATGAAGCCAACAAGTATTATTTTCTTGTTGCAAATGCAAAATTTATGCTGGATGAGGAGGAGCATTTCAAGGAACTCTTATTTGAACGGCTTCGCCTCTATGGAGAGCGTAATAAAGAACAGGATTTCTGGCTTGTCATTGAGCCTAAGTTCTTGGATAAGTTCCCTGACATTACCAAGAGATTGAAGAGACCTGCTGTTGCTCTTGTGTCTACCAATGGTCCTTGGATCACGTAAGAATGACAATTCTTAATCTTTCAGTGGTTGATTCTGCAATTGGTTTTAAGTAGTGTACTTGACAATCTGATGCTTCATTGATACTTGGATTGGATGTCATAAACTGCAAAAGGAGTGAAATTCTTTCAACTTATCTGCTTTACAAATTGTGTATGTGTGCGTGTGAATTCATACATAAGCCAATCTGTAGAACATCTAGACAAAACCCTGTCTACCTATGGCTAACTACCTAGGCCAAGCCCTTGTGGCTAAAATAGATGTCTTTTTATATGCTTGTGACATGGGGGTTCTCACTTCTCAAGCAAGAATTGATCATTTGCTACTTTTTTTGTTTGGCAATGTTGGAGTTGTCAATTATTAACTGTGGTAAAAGGGTTATTGTATATTTTTTTCCTACTACTTTTAGTGTCTGCGCCCTGCTGATAGGAGGTCCAGCCTTTCAAATGATATAATATGAAACAATTATGTTAGACAGAAGTAGTGTATGATCAACAAAATTGCTACAATCAAAGTTGTAAACATAGCTTCAAAATACCCGCTTTTGTTGTTTCAGCCACCTTGTGATTGTCCTTGTGTATTTTGGACTTTTGGCAGATTCATGAAGTTACGACTGGACCGAGTTCTAGCAGAAAGTTTTGAAGCTGAGAGCCTAGAAGAAGCATTAGCTTTCAATCCTACTGATTTGGAGTTTGAGAAGCCTGAAATATGGGTGGCACCCTATCCTAAATATGAATTTGGATGGTGGGAACCCTTCTTGCCCCCTGTCCAGAAAGAGGTGAAGTCGTAAGATATTATCTATCCACTCCGTTCCAGTAATGGGTATTCGTAAATCTTTTTCTCCAATGGTTTTTGTTCATGTATAACTGGATGGTAGTTGAAGTTGGCTAAATTTGCATTCATTTTTGTAATTTTTGGAAGGTAGTATAATTATTTAAATTTGAGGTGTTGTCCTTAGGATCTAAGTTCTAGGAATTGCATTTATGTCTCTCAAATGAGTTAGGTATAGATTTTATTGTGCGATTGACATTCTCTGTTGCTAGAAATATATGTGAAGGCCTGAAATTTACTGTTCATCAAATGAACTTACCTCAAATGTACTCGCTTACTTTACATTGCATTGACATTAAAGGCTTCCTTAAAACAGTCAAAGCCTTGTCCTATCTCCCCAGTCAATGCCTGAAACTCTGAACCTGATGTCTAAGGACTTGGTTGATTTAACTACCAATGATTTTGGAGCTTGTCCTCCACATTACAGACACACTTTGTTGTCCATATTCTGCATTCTAGCATTCTTTTTGATGACCACAGGTTTGGCTATCATAGGTCTTGGAAACTGTTGAGGCCTTGCGTGGCATGCAGGTTTCTTTATGGGGTTGGACATCCTCATTTTAAATGTTTTGAGTCTGAGAAACTGTTGGTTTGGTGGGGGCGTGGAAGGCCTAATGAAAACTTTTGTAACAAATGCTTTTTGGCATTACCTTTGCCTAGAGAGATCCACCTATATCCAACTTCCAATTGCTAATTTGCTCAATCCTCCAGTTATTGTATCTGATTTTCACAGCTTAATTATGTCTCCTCATGTGTAACTGCACACACCGAATTGGGAAGTGGTTAAATGCATCCCATAATGACTAAACAGACTGTACCTCTTACCGTAGAAAACAGGTTTACATGAGAGGCTTCTCATTGTTCCTCTCTTCACTGGGCTGTTTTGTAAGCCTTGTTTTAGCTGAAGGTAGTTTTATTTGGGATGTTCCTATTAATCTTGTCCTACAAGATCCATTTTGATACAAAGAATACTGAACAAGAAAGCCAACTAAAGTACAGGGCTACTGGATTCATGCTGAGATGTGCAAATAAGTTTTATATGGACTTCCACAGATCCACAAGTAAATCACTCTTTTTATATTGTACATCTAGACTTACCTTTTTCCTGATGTGGATGCCCTTTTATTACAGAAAGAAAAATGATCAGATATATGCTGCAAATTTCGTTTGTATAATGAAGTTATGCTTTAAAGAAAAAAGGACCACTAAGTTCCTTTGTAGTTCGTCGAAGTGGAACATGTTTCCTCCATTTCTTGAAGGTTGTAAAATCAGTCTCTTAATTCATCCCTTTCATGAGTCTGTACCGTGCAACTATGATCTGCATCAGTTACCGTATACTTCTAGCCATTGCTAGTCTCCGTCCCCAACCATAGACTAGATTCTGATGATGGATCAGGCTTCTTTCTGCTAACAAATATGGTTTGCTTGTTATGACACACGCCAAAATTTAACCTCTGCGCCCTGTATGACAATAAAATTATCATTATTTTTCCTTTCAAATAGTATTTCGTGTGCTAATCAAATACGAAAAAATATCTCAAACCTCAATGTATAAAATCCTTTGGTACATATGATGGTATCGGTAGATGATATCATTATTGGTGAAACAAACTAAATGGTTAAACGACTACAGAGACAGGTTGTAAATAACTTCTAGAAAGCTTTTGTTTTCCATTTTTGTTACTTTTCTAGTTTTTATATATTAATCAAAATCTGAAATCCAGGACTGTACTGTTTCTAATGAATTTTCAATTAAACCAAACGTGAGGGAAGCGAAGAACGCTAAATTGGACCTATTTCTGCAAGCAAGAGGCGAAGGACAAGTATGTCAAAAACCAATATAATATGATAATGCATACAGTTAAAGAAAGGGGATGTTACATCAATAACCAAAAGCGATCAAATATGGAAAATGATTCTTGCAAACTAATTTTCGTGCATCATTTTTACAATGGTTAACACCTCACAAATTTTTTATTAGTATGTGGTTAAGAGGATGAAATCCATTACTAATAATCAATAGCAGCAGTATCATGAAGTATTGCGTTACCTATATAATACATGTTAACTACAAGCCTTAATATAGAAATAAGCATAAGCTAAAGCACCATGAAGTATTGCATTACCTCTATTGCAGAATGCAGTCTTGAAAGTGTTGCGATTTGCCGAAAAACTTTTTCATCAACGATGCATATAGACTTTTCAATTCAATCAATGTCTTCTCAACAATGATCTCAACAACATCCCCATGCTTTTCATATACTGCTGGCACAGTCAGCAATACAACAAACACTACACCATCAGAGCAAATGAAGAAGCAAATTAGAACTAACTTGCACTTCAGCAGCACCACTGGTGTAATTGGATTAGTGTTAAATCTACCTGAACGTAGATCTATTCCTACACTGTAAGTTATAGTTTTCACATTAAAATGTGGTTTAATGTGATTTTAGTGAGCTTTCAAACACACTAATAATGTGTTTGATTTCGAGTTCACGTATATTCAACATTTCAACATTATTAGTTGTAACTTTTGGATATGGATTCACATATACAAGTATCATTGCATGTGTGGAATGCCACTGCTACGATAGATAGCTGCATAAATATTATACTTTGTGGCTGACCTATGTAGAATAGAGTTGTAGCACTGAACCAAATGCCAAGAACTGAGACAGATCCCAAAGTAACTGTAACCTGCAGATTACTTTCTTGTCAAAGAAAACCAAATGACACTGACAAGATGAGTAAGCAAAGCTTAGGAGGAGCTGAAGGGTACCAATATAAATTTCTTCAAATGTCGTCCAGAAGCTAGGACTCCAAATATAATGAGTAGTTGGTTAAGTTCACGTGTTATTGAAATAGCAGTATCAACAAACGACCCTTCTGGTAAGATGAATGCTGATAATTCAGGTGGTGGTAATCTGAATTAATAAGAAAATAGCATCATTACTTGTTGTAAAACAATAATCCAACAAGCTTTGCGGACAAACACATTGAATGAATGAAAAGAAAAAAATAGATAAGGAAAAAAAATCTAGTACATATTCCATTTCATGTCACTCATTTGGTGAGCTTGACATAAGCATGATTTGCCATATAATGTTCAATCCGGTTGGGGGAAGTGGCTTGTTATGATTCCTTTATTTACTATTTCAAAATATTCAATTAATGTCAAATTGAACCTTACAAAAGTAACGACATAAACAAGAAGGAAACGAGTAAACTAACTCATTGCTACATGCAGCAAATTTGGAAGAAATGCAAAACTATTGGGACTCAATTTGGTCTTTTGTAAAGCAAGTAGTGGTTTCATTACTGAAATTTGATTTGTGTATGGCAAAGATGAATCAGGCCAAGTGAGAGGAAAACATGACGAAATTATCTAATTTCAAATCATTATTATTTCTATCATAGAATGAATAAGTGTACTGGATGCAGTGTTAACTCTAGAATTTCGGATAGTACTTTTAAGTTCCAGACTCGAGTTATGTCATTCAAAGATTGTTATTTCATATTTGAATGTGAATATAATATGATGCAGTGTTGCAAATGACTGTACACTCTTCTATAAAACTAAATAAATAAATTGCACGACACGTAGATTTAGTTGCTGCAGCAATGATATTAAACATAAATAAATATTTGTTTTCAAATAGCAAATCATTAGCTGCTGAGAGTTTCAAATATTTAATTATCTTAACATAGAACGAAAAAGAAAAATAATTAACAACTGATTAATAGAGTGCATTAAACTCACATTTTGATGAATGATGTTAAGTGGGTCCAGAGGAACAGCATTGCCAATAGGAGTATGAGAGAGTCACAAATGAAACTAAGCAGCGTGTAATCCAATCTCTTAAAAAGAAACCATATGAAAGTTACACCAACAAGAATGCTTGCTGAGGTTTTCTTGTTCTTCCAAAGTATAATATCAGCACCTAAGAAGAAAGAAACCAATTTTACCATAAATTTCTATGCAAAACAATACTGCACTATCTAATTCACACCCTCAAACTAGGTTCATATTTTCATTGTAATTTGCAGGATGAATGAAACTTGCAAAACATGTCATGTATGAAGCCATAAAGGAATGGAAAATAAGCAGAAGATCATACTTTTTCCAGAACCTAAGGCAACGTGAAGAGGCCTTTTCTGGCCAAACAAGCGGCTCTTGGCGGCAGAGAAAACAAAGTATTGCTCAAACTCATAGTCAAATTCTGAGTCATCATCATAAAGTTCTTTGTTTATGAGAAAATCAGAGTCTGCTACATCCATGAATTCTGTTGTTTGAGACATTATTTATCCTCCTTCTATATATGTTAGATCTTTTTTCTAAGTTGTTATGTAGTAAAACATAAACCTGTGAACAATAACATTCCCAATGAGAAACAATGTCATGCATTAAAAAATTAATGTTATTTGTCAATTGTTGCATGAACAAACAATGAACGACAAATTTAATGGTCACAATTGCACAACAATTGTGTGTGCATGAATAAAAATTTTAGCATGAAGGTTAGATATTAATTTGCATATATGCACACACTATATATAATCATTTTTTAAGTTTAAAAGATGAAATATGCAGTTTCTTACAATTATGGATCAATCGGTGGAGATTTTATCCTTTTAGAGCTTTCTTTTCTTCAAGACTCCATGGATTCGTTTTAGGAATCTCTGCTTTCTACCTTTGCAATCAGCTACGAATCTCAGGGAGCCATTTTAGAACCCGTCAACATGTGCATGAAAGCAAACATTACTTAAAATAACAAAATTTTTCTACGTTGCACAAATATGGTAAAGAATATCAGCCATGATATATATAATATGTAAATATAATAATTTTTAAAAAATTAGATACATGTAACAACAAAAATATATATTTTATATAGCTGATATTTATATTGATTTGTCATCATTATTGTCTGGTACAAATTTTTAACTTCTTGAAAAAGTTTACTATAACGACATAATTATAATCAATTTTAATAAAAAATTATATTCAAATTATAATAATTCTTTTATTATTAAAGAAAATTTGTATATTAAGAGATTTAAAGCTAATATAATCAAATATTGATGTTGAGGTAGGAATTAAGAAAATAGTTTTTTTATCTTTAAAGTAGGATATCTTTTGGTGTCTTTTTTATCTTTTGATGTTGTGTTAAAATTATATTGAGACCTGATTCAAGTCTTGAATTATAAGAGTGAGGTGAGCTGGCATTCTTTGTAGGACTTATTTGAGTTGTTACTTTATCTAAAATGCTTAAGCTATATTAACAAACTCGGATCTCTTTTACTACACTCATTTGAATCAATGATTTCTTCGTTTTCTAAAACATCCATAATGTATATTAATTCTATTAGTCATAAAGCATTTAGATTCATTAATCCTTTTAATAATTATGATTAATGTTTATTGTTTAAAATCAGGTGGGATTATGTATTTGAAGGACATTATTCGTAGTCAAATTTCATACGAATTAATGTAAAATCTACTCAAAAGTTGAAATTAAATATAGGCAATTATGGAAAATTACGGTTCTGCCCATTGGTTAATCTAGTGGCTTGTGTGTTGCTTTACCCTAAACCTTCCCAAATTTCCACGCTTTTGGTATTATTATTTCAATCGGAAGACAACATTTTTGGCTTGAAATGACGTATGGTTACTCATAAACTCATGGCAAAATTCTGTTGTTACTATTAGAATAGCTGTATATGGCATAGGGTTTTATAGTCAATCTAATTACTGTTAAATATCCTTTCTGTTAGTCAAACCGGTTTGTTTTCTCATTTAGAAATGTCACACTACGAATCTATTGGAAAATGAGTTTGTCTAAGCTACCCAAAAGGGTAAACAACCTCATCCTAAGTGGATTAATGAGATTTTGTCTCTGAAAAATTAAATAAATAATTTATACCATTTTTAATATAATATCTTTACTTCAATGGTCTACATAAGATGCAGTTGTTTATTTAAGGGTAACTTAGACATGCAAAATTTTTGTTGAAATGGAATTTCATGAACACCATGTTGGAGGGCATTTTTGTGTTTTGACAAAATTAAACCTTGAGAATGTGTCACTCATGATTTAAGGCAGATATAATTATTTACATGGAACTTGAATTTTCCTGTATCTTTCTACCGTCCTTTCTTTTCTGCAGTTGTGTAGATATGTACTTCATTGTTGACGGTTGGAAAATCAAAGATGATAAGTAGCAATGTAGCAACATCAAGCTTCCTCACTGGTTGTTAGTCCCGCAATTTCTTTTAGTGGCTTCCACATAAACTTTCTCCTGATCATTTTATAAACATGAGAATGTTATCAAACTACAATAAGCAAAGAAATATAAATTATAAAGATGGATATGTAGGTAGCAATTGGTGTGTATAGAATGGATGTAATATCATATTATGCTTCATTCCCTTGGTTTTGGTCTTTCCAATAGAAATCAAATGCAGCATTTTTTTTTACCCCATGTTATATTTTTAAAATGTATCAAAACATACAATAGAACTCATGCTATGTTTCATCCCATTCTAACAAGTCTAGCAAACTCTCCCTACAAGTTAGGCAAATTCAAGAAACAGGCAACAACAAATAAATAAATTATATAATCTATAAAAAAAATAAAAATACTAACAACAATAAGAAAAGGTTCAGAAAAGTTAGGCTTCATACCAGTTTCCACATTCAGCAATGACCCTCACATTAGGCCTAAGTGAAGGCAGCAAAGCAAGGAATTGCAGTTCTGCCTTAGAGAGAACCTGTGGAAGCCAAAACAACATTTACACCACTACTAGTAAATTTTAATGGGAAATCATAGGTACCCTTTTTTACACAAGGTATTTTATTGAAATACAATCATACAAAAATGTTATAATCCTCACACCTTAGCTTCAATTATCCACACCACCAGCCCTTTGGCATCTGGTGGCAATGCTGCTAATCTGTAATCAACTTCTGGTGGAAAATACCACCTTGCTATTGGCTGCTTGCCAACATGAGGCTGAAATTCATGATAAAATCCTAGGGTAAATTAAACACGAGCAACAACCATCAAGAACGACCAACAAAAGTAGCTACAAGAGTCTTTTAAGCAAATAACAACTATATTCATACACAATATTTTTGACACTTCCCTCACCTTATTTTTCTCTATCTCTTTCTTCCTATCATGGGGTTGTCCAAATTATCTTACGAGATTTTGTCTATATAAAGTTGAATAAAAAGTTAATACAATTTCTTATATAATATTTTAACTTTGTTAATCCACCTAGAATAAGGTTATTTATCTCACAAGGGAACTTAGACAAAATCTCACATATTATATTATCTATCACATTCTTCACTTTCTCTCTCTTCCTTTTTCTTCCCATCTTTCACTTCTTTCCACCTCATACACCCCAAAATCGGACATTATACTTTAAGCTAAAAAAGAAACTCACAGGGCAAACAGGGTGAATCTTGGTGAGGGTGGTTTCAGGATCACCAAGGCCACGAGCTGAAAGGTCAAGGAAATAGTAACCTTGGCGTTTGAGACGTGACAAATAGCGACCTTCATAGCCTCCTTCATGGGGAGAGTATATTGCAAGTGCTTTGTGTTCTTCAACATCTGAAAGCCAACGTCCAATGTCAAATTTCACCAAGTCTCCACCTATGAAATCTCCTAAGCCAATGCACCTTACTACGCCTACCCTTTTGGTTGTGTTATTGCTACCAGGTTTTACTCTCCAACCCTTCATCACCCCAGCATGGTTATGATGTTTAGCCATGAAACTGTTCCTTATTGGTTGCTGCTGAACAGTAAAGAATGTTGGTCCTCCATAACTCAAAAAGCTAGCAGTGTATGCCATTTTTTTTATGATTAATTTTTTGGTCACAAAAATGTGAGAGCTTATTAGAGAATGAGGACCATGGTTTTTTCAATGAGTTTGAAGATGGAAAATATTAGTTAGTAGTAGAAATTGGTGGAAAATTAAGTTGTGGATGTATGAAGTGAGTTTGTATGGTGGAGAAATGAGATAAAGTGATCAGTGAGAAGGAATTTGTCTTCACTTATAACTTTTAATTAGATGTGATACTATGTGGCGGGTATTGACTATTTTTTTCCCACATTTTTTTTATATTATTCATAATTACATATTTATTTTTGCGTGTATATATATAATATTTTGGTTTTTTTATGATCAGTAGAAATGTCAACCGATGAAAAATAAAATATGAGCCTTTATAATTTTGGCCCAACTAAATTTAATGGCAGCCCAAATATTCTAGCCCAACTGCACAAATACAAATCCCCCATTACATATAAATACCCAATGTGATGGAGTGTACTTTTTTTTTGTTTAGATGGATGAAAGTAAGTATAACAGTTAGTCACAAACTTTTTTATAAATGAGGAAATGCAAATAGGACAAATTTTAAGTATAATACTGAATTATTGGTGTTGTTATTTAATTAAAATTAAAATTTTATTTTAATAATCTCTTTGCAAATAATGCATTATAATGTTCACGACTTTCTACGAAATATCATGCAAGTTGATGCAACCTTATGAATACTTTTTTATAAATGTTGTTAATTAGTGTAGTATTAATTCAACATTTAATAAATGTTTTTTATTAAAAAAAATATGTTATGATATAATTGAAAATAAAAAATTATAATATTATATTTTTTAAATGTTTAACTAAAATTTTTAAAATAATTTGCCTTATGTATAATCATGGTACAAGTTGTTGGTTGAGTGTTCTTTGCTAACAAACACTTTTTTGTAGTTTCTTTTGAAAAAATTAAATTCTAAAAATAATTAATATATTTAAGATTTTTTTATAGAAAAAAAAAAGTAGTGTGATTAAAAAATTGTAAAAAAAAAATATATCATGTTTTTACTAACAAATAGCGAAAAAAAGTTAACATTTAATACCTTAACTAAATAAATAATAAAATTCTAATATTAAATATGAGACTATTTTAATATCATAAAATATAATTTTAATCCTTTGAAATTATATGAGAAAAAATATTAATTTAGCCAAAAAAAATTAACTATGTATTACATTACAAAAAATTGTGTCTAATGATGGTTTATTTAATAAAATATTATTTAAATTATGACAACTCATATAAAGACTTTATTAAATAAAATATTCTTTTAATGTTTTAAGTTTAACAGATTACATTTTAAAAAATAAATTAGTATAAGCCTATATTATTTATTTTCATCGTTGATAATGTTTTTTAAAATCAAATTAAATGTATTATTCAAGTTAAGCATTTATTTTTATTTAATTATTTTATCATAAATTATTATATTAAATAATAAATATTATTTTACAATGGTGATATTATTTTTTATTTTATTATTCTTATTATTTACTCATTCAACTTATATATTAATTTATATTTATGGAAAGTTTTAATTAATACACGATACTTTGCATATATTTTTTTTTTTTTAGACTTATATATTAATGATTTTCATGTAAATATTTATTTTATGTAATACAAATGCATATTATATATTTTATACACCAAATGACATTGGATCTATCAACAGCACATACTTTACTTTCTACTGTTATAGTATTTAATATTATTGATATATTAAAATTTATTATTTTAATAAAAAAATTATAAAAAATAATTATTATTAATTTTTTTTACTTAAAATATAGCAAATAAAAATCTAGTTTTAAATATATTAATATTTGATTGTTTTTAAATCTTTATTTATTATAAAATGTATATTAATAAGATAATCATAATTTACTTATATTAATAAATAAATATATTTATTTAATATAATTTTAAAAATATTTTTAAATATTATATATATATATAACATATAAAATACAAAACACTTATTGATGACATAACTAAAACATAACAAAAAGTTTTTACAAAAAGTAAATTATTATTTTTTTAAAAATCATATTGTATAAATGAGTTTTAAATATAAAAATTAAATACATATTTGAATTTATATTCTATTAAAATTTTAATTAACAAACTAATACGTATGTGACATTTTTACTGTTTATTTAATTAAATTATATATATTAGATTATGTTAAAAATAGTTAAAATTAGATTTTTTTAATTTTATCTTTTTTCTAAATCTTAAAAAATTAGAATTTGAAAGGTTAAAAAATGGAGAAGGAAAAGGAATGTTACAAAAAAAATCTACTAATTTTAAAAATTAAAAATACAAATTTATGTATATTTTGAAGTATTTATAAAAATTTTCTCTTATTTTTAAAAATTCTTAAATAAAATTTATTTTCAAATAAATATTATCATTCCTTTTCTTCTCTCTTTAAAAATAACTTACAAATAAATTTTAAGAAATTAAAAAATCTGAAATAATTAGACTTATAAATGGTGAATTTTTTAAATTGTATGATAACTCTAATATTAAATACATAGATCATTTTATTATTATTTTTCTTACATTTAATGAGTTAATAAAGATCCTTCGAAAAGAAATAAGTTTATAAATTTGATTACTTAAACTTTTAAAATAATAATTAAGTTTAATTACTTAATTATTTTAAAATAATTTTTATAAATTACTTAAGTTTGAATTTTTTAATTATTTATATTTACTAAAAATAATAATTTTATATAAAGTTAGATCACTTAAGTTTTTAAAACAAAAATTTTATAAATTATTTATATTTACTAAAAAAATTTATTTTAAACATTGACTATATATGTATATATTTAAAATTATTGAATTTAACTTCTTAAAATAAATGTAAATTTGAATTTTTTTCAGATTATGATTTTGTTTAAAATTATAAACAAACACTTTAGAAGTTTTCTCAGTCTTTGTTTGAAAATTAGAATACTTTTTTATTATAAAAATTTGAAACTATTGAGTTCATTAATGACCTTATAAATAGTCATATTTTAAAATTATGCTGTAACCTTGATACTATATGTATGGAGTATAATATCTCTTGTGAATCAGCCATGGCAAGTAGATCCCATGTCTAGCATGAACCCCTCAAGGGAATTTCCTTTGTCTCAGCCAAACCAAGAAAATTCCCTTTTAAGCGATAATATCTCAGGGTTGACTACTTTGCCTTCACAAGATGCAAATTTTTCAAGCACTGCTTTTGTATGGTTTAGGCACCTTGTATCAGCCAAAGAACTTTCAAGCAATATTAGGTTCAAGTTCAACAAACTTCAACAATAGCACATTCCCAATATGGCTAGAAAGTCATAGGTCCTAAACCAAGCTTCACCATACATTCCACCATCAACTCATGGACCAGCTCCTCCACCACAAGTACTACCAAATTCATCATCAAATCTTCAAGTGGATGGAGGAGGTGCAATGAATTACCATGGAAGAGGTGGTGCTCTAATTGGCCAACCACAAGAAGCTGCTCCACCACCTGTTTGGAATAATGATCTGCCACCTGACTTAGATATTTTGTTTAAAAAAAAAATTTGAAGTAGCTGATGAATAATTTAATTTGAAATATGTAAAATATTATTATTAAAAATTATTTTAGTGTAGTAAAAAATTTTCAAGAATACTACAAACTCTTTTTGTGTAAAAAACAAAACTCTTAAAAACTAACAGATATAAAATTCGTAACCCAAAAAAATTATATAATCAGTAAAGTGTTTACATATTTTGTACATTTTTTTTAAAATATATAAAATATTTTATCCAGTTTAATCGTTCAAGTAAACTTTACATAAAAATTCATGCATATTTTGTATGATTTTCTTAAAATATATAAAATATTTTAATCAGTGTAATTCACTAAAAATATAAGTAATAATAATAATTAATAAATTATTTTTAAATATAATTATATTATTTTTCAACATCTTCAGGTGTAAAGAGTGCAATACTTGTTTGTTAAATAGATATTGTATTTTGCATCTTAGAGTCTATTATTTTGCTTGCTTTGTGTGGATAAACTTTAGTTGTTTTGAGATGAAACTATTTCTGTTTGCTTTGCATCTTAGACAAGTTTGTTGCTTTGCCGTCTTAACTGGTTAATGACACAAGTGCACGATGTGTAAGTGAAGGAGGTTTATTTTATGGTATGGAAATAATTTAAATTATTTTTTTCAAATAATCTAAGTGAACTTTGAATTTTTCCAAATTCAAAGTTTGTTAACCCTCTTTTTTTTCTTCTTTTTTTTCTTTCTTTCTTCCCTTACTTCCTAAATATCTCCTTTCCTTTCCTCTCTATTAAACTCTTAAATAAACCATAAACTAAGAAAGATGTTCAATCTACTTATTATTATATAGATAATTTTTACATTATCTTGTAAATTGAGAGGATATAAAATGTCAATGTAAAATAATTGTTACTGATATTTTTATGTTAACATATAGCTAGGTTAGTAATTTTAAAAAAATAATATAAATATCTTTTAATTTTTAAAATATTAAAAAAACTATGATAGTCAATCAAGAAAGGGTATATAATACTCTTTTAAGTTTATAAATATTGTAATAAGTACTTATTATATAACAATGATAATTGTTTCATATACGAGAACACAAGATGTTCTCTTAATCTGTAAGACATCATAAAAATTATCTTAAAAAATATATTTATGTTTAAAAATGATAATTTAAAATAAAATTAAAAAAATAATTCTTTTAATTGATAAAACATGTTTTTGAAATATAAATAATATATTCACTTTCATGCTTTTAACAAAGTATTTATAACTTGTGTAATATTAAAAATGATCAAATAAATAAATAAATATAAAGTTTTTATTAAAAATTATAAAATTTAATATTATTTAATATATTAATATCATCAAATACTATAATTTCTTTAAAAAATTTACTTTACATGATATTAACCTTGTGCTGTGGCACACAGGTTAGAAATTTTTTATTTTAATATATAACACATCAATTTACTTTTATAATATTATTTTTTATTAATCTTAATGAATTATTATATAAATAAGAGTAGAGATAATATATCTTCTTTCATCTATACA